TAAAAAAATAAAATTCAATTCACTTTCATATGCGTATGTATGTATGTATACACAGTACATAAAATAAGTAAAATTTGCGATTCATATCACAAGGATAATAAGAAAAAGTAAAATTATTAAGCATATTGTATATATACGAGTATATAAACTATATAGTGACGAAAGCATGTATACTATGAATAGAAAACATAAGATCCTAGTGTAATCCTTTATATTTTCTATTCTATTTTCATATTCTTTTTCTTTCTTTATTAAATTACAAAGTTACATTGTCAACAATTGGTTGTTGTAATAAATGGAGAACAATATTTTTTACTCATACATATATGCTTATATGTTCATTTTATACTTTTATAATGTTTATCATATACCACGTACAGAAAAAGGTTGCGAATTCAAAGAATGATTGTTGTACAGAATATTATGAATTTTCTTCTACAAATTTTGTTAAAATATAACTGCATTTAGACATATGAAATATTAAATTTTTTATATATACTATATAATAAGAAATGTATTCGGCAAAGGTTTCAATGAAATATTCATATAAGTTTGTTAATAAAGTAAGGAAATAATATAGCTGACCTATACAGATATAACCTTATTAAACAAATGTTTAGAATTTATTTCAACAAAATATCTTAATTTTCAAAAAGTTAATTTTTAAATAGATATATAAGAAATATTTTTGAGGATTGTATAATGGTTTATTGTTATGGTATGGAGACTGGGATTCCGTCGAAAACTGAGACTGCGGGTCAATGAGAACGTATCCAAACGTGTTTCAGGCGGATATATATGAAGTTAACTTATTTGTGCACTTCAGTTTCTGAAAAGATTTTATCGAACTGAGACAAGATATAGACCAGAGAAATATGTGACACAGTATAGCGCTGCTATTTGAGGGTTGAGATTTTGTTTAATCGCCGCTAAAGGGCGTAGCGCTGCCTGATATGTGTAACGAGTTTGGCACACGGGATTGAGTTTTATTGCACTGAATATCGGGGCACGTTCATATACAGAGTAATAGGTATGTCGCCGTGCTAGTGAAAAAGAAAAAAGATTTTTTGTGGGATTGGACTGCAATTGATTCAAGGAACTCGCGGTACAAAGTTCAAGGAATAAAGTAAAAACGAGGAGATTGGAGTGATTATCTGACAGGATTCCATTCAATTTTAAATTTCTTAAATTCGTCCAATTCGCTGCGGAATATTATACTTGTACAAGCGAAAAGTTATTAATGAAAAGTAGAGATCCCTTCATAAATTCACATTTTATTTATGGAAAATTCCAACTACACCCTGTGTATACGGAATTCCAAAATAATATTATAATTAGAGTACGGAATTCCAAAATAATATTATAATTTTCAAAATATGAATTAATTTCATTCATTATATGTAATAATTAACTTTTACAATACAATTTTTAATATTTTCTTCGTAATGTGAAATTCTAATTAAAATACCTTGTATGTATTTAATAAAAATAGGGTAGAAATTATCAATAATTTAATAATAGGTATATGAAAATTGTGGAAAAATTTATTCATTAACCCTTCTGTCTATACCTACATACCCGGGTATGTTTTCAAAGTTTGGTTGTTAATAACTTTACCGTTATGCAACCAAATGAATTTAAATTTCATGAATTCTCAAATTGGACAATTATTTGTGAACTTTTTGCAATATTAGGAAAAAAATGTTTCCCCAAGTCATAGGATATGCCTTAAAAAAAAAGTTGTCGTAGTGTCAACACCTAACATACCCGGGTATGTACATATGTTTTGTATGAAATATAAGGTTTTTTTTTTACCTTACTTTCGAAATAAAAAATATAAATTGCAGTAACGAAAAATATTTTTATTTCTTAAAAAATTTTTTTTTTTCATTTTTATAAAAAAATATTAAAAAACATAAATTATATCCAGTGCATAAACAATATCAAAAAAATAAAACAATAACAAAAAGAAATGGTTGATTCAGTCTTATTTCTACAGAATATAATAGATTATTTGCATGAAATACATTTATGAATTACGACACTGTGATCATTGCAAACTGGCCGCTCACATTCTACACATGACTTTCTTGTTGGTCGACGTCTTTTCTCCGCCAATGAGCTGCAAAAGAAACAGTTGCCCACAATTTTTTTTCTTCCACTATTATCTCTTTCCGGAACATCGACTGATTGCTCTGGTGTCTGAACATTTATTGGTTCACCTAACACTGCTTCTATAGCAATTTTGCTAGTAAAATTTCGAAACACATTTGAATTTTTCGATCTATTGGTTACTTCTGGAAGTGCCAATTGTCGACCCAAATCATATAAAAATTTTCGACGACTATTTGTTTGTCGTTTTATATCTGGGTTGTTTTCGCTATAGATTATGTAAGCAGCAAGTGCACAAACATCTACAATATTATAAAACAAAGCCAGTGGGTATCTCCGAGTTTGACGTTTTGTAGTGTATTCACATCATCGGATTCAATATCGCCCAGCTCGTCATTTTCTTCTCCAAAAACTTTTTTTAGAAAGCTTTGTTGCTCTTTTTCTGACAAACTGACAAACCAAAAAATATGAAGTACAAAATATGGTTTTAAATTTGCTATAAAAATGTTATAAATATTCTTTATAATTATAAATAGATTTTACACTTACTTATAGAAATCATCTTCATCTGATATTTCACCTGTCATGATTTTAAATTACTGACCAATGATTTCAAATTTTAAAATTCAACAAATGAAAACTTTCCACACGTTTACTATGTTAGTTACTAAAATTTTCGTTAAAACTCTACTCAAAAATATCAACAAAAATATAATGGGGATTCCCCGAAAAGAAGCTATGTTTTTGTAACAATTGTGAATAATAAAGAATTATATTTAAGTGATAATTGGGAATAAACAGACATGTCATAAATTTCCGGAAGGTGGCTAATTTTAAAATGCTATGAAAGATATGTCAATAAATATACATGCGTAATTCTAAATTCATATAAAATGTATTGCATACCGGGGTATGTTAGGTGTTGACGGAACGTATATATTTTAGGTATAGACAGAAGGGTTAAAAAGCAAAAGAAAAAAATTAATACAAATTTTTTTCCTAAAAATTAAAATATAAATTGTCATTCTAAATATTATTAAATTAAATATTTATTCTACCGTAAAATTAATTTAATAAAAACTTATTATTTGTAATTAACATAATTTATAAATTATTTGAATTTTTCGGTTCTATTAATACAAATTTTTCGTATAATATTTAAATTTAATTTGCATTTTTACTTAGCAGTTGTTTGTTCTAAAAGTATAGTTCTTCTTTGCATACTAACTTAAAAATTATTAAAGGTTTTATATGACTATTCATTCCCTGAATTAAATTTTTTCCTTCTTGTGATCAGGAATAATTTTAATTACTCGCAAAGGAATATAGTTCAGACATGGTTTATGTACCTTAGCGAATTTTAGAGTAGTAGTAGCCTGAGAAAAAGGAGTATTTGAAAATTTTACTGTAAAACTTTATTAAAATACTGATATTTTAATAAGGTTAAATTCATATTTCTTACATTCTTTAACTGCCGACGGATGCACATAGAATTTTTTAAATTTTCGAATTGAAAAAAAAACTTTGCAATCTTAAAACAGAAAATTATAGAGCTATTTAAGGAATTGTTTACGCCTATCAAAAATATGACATATTTCATATTGTTTCCTTGTACTGAATTAGGATTCCAATCTCATTGTTAAAGTAACTACAAGAAGCATAAAAATTTTGCTACTATTTTTAACTTGTTAATTTTTTTCAATTTTACATGCAAGTTATGATTTCCTTATACATCCAAGTTATGATATTGAATGAGAACGCGAAAAAATTTTAAATTTATAATTACAATTCACTTTTTTTTACTTTAATTTTAAATTAAGCTTTAGTTTTTTAATACTATGCTAAGTGTATGTTAATTGAAGTGCTAATTTATGCATGTGCACCTAACACAATGTTTCTTTATTAACATATTAGCTACATAAAATAAATTGTTCAAATTAGTATAATCGATAATTAAAATTCTCTAATGTTATTGCTAATTTTGTATATGTTTTATCGGAGGTATTGTGATTGAATCAAATTTCCGATGTTGATTTTATCACCGGAAATGAAGTTGGTCTGTTTGTATATTAATTTGCTTTGACGGCGTTTTATATAAAATTTTTATATATTACCTTCATCTATGGATTTAATTTATCAATTTTATAAAATTTTAATATTGCAAGAGATCTGCGTATGATATTTTTAGTGGTGTCTTGCATAATAGTATCAACTACGGCTCAATTTCATATTTTAAAATTTCTTAAGTTTGGTATGATTTTGATTTGCTATTCAGGTTCAATTAATTAATCTTGATATTAATAAAACAGTTTATAAATGATAATGAAATTCTGAGATCATTATGTTTGTCAGTGTTGCGCAAGCTGTGAGAAACTTTTATAATGTCACATATTTTATATAATTTCGGGATATAAATTTCAGAATATTTTGATATGAATTCGTCTAGCCTCAATTCGTCTTAAAACTCAGACCTTAATTAATATTTTACTGCATTACGTCATAGCAGTAAATTCAACCATCAGAAATGTCACATTGATTTTTTGTTTTCAATCCAGGTATGAGATCTTGTCTTGCTTTATTTTGCGTGGTGATTATAATTAAAGCTGCTGCAGTCATACCAGTTAAATTGTCAAATTAAAACATTTTTCGTATATATAGAAGACAACAATTGTTCATTTTTTATTTCACCATTTTGTTAAAATTATAAAACAATAAATTTTTTGGAAAATATTAACAAGATTTCATATTTAACTTAATTTGTAGTATACAATAAATATACAGTGGAAAAATAAATTATGATAGGTTCTATAAGGAGTTTGCTTAAAATTTTCTATCTTATAAATATAAATATTTATATGTAGGTTTGTTTGCTCTAAATATGACCAACAAAATATATGTATATATAAATATTATGAATATATAAATAAATATTTAAATTTAGATATGAGAACAAGTAGATTTAGTTTGCATTTTTTATTATATACGAGTATGCTATGTATGTACATACATAGTTTGTGTCTATATTTATAAATGTACAATATATATACATATATATATATAATAATAAATTGATTGATAATTCGATTGCTTCTAATTGATATTTTTTTCTAATTACATTTTATGTACTTATTTTTATAAATCTTTGCTCTTTTTGTTTCATTAAAAATAATTGTGTCCCACTAATATTACAAATTTTCTTTTTCTACAATGTTAAATTATATTTGATTCTTGTTATGTAATGTTACATTAATGTTACGTTATGTTTCACTTTCTGTTATTACAATTATATGATCTAATCCAATGGATTCATTTTCTAATTTTTGTTTTTCAATACTAGTTTGTGGTGTAATAACAACTTTTGGTATTGATTTTGTAGTTGTTGTTGAAATTTTTGATGGTGTTGTTGAAATATTTTCTATAGTTGCTATAGTTTTAATATCACTTTCGATTTTAGTTGTTTTTATAGTTTGATTTAATATCTTCTTTTCACTTGATATTATTGATGATACACTTGGTACATCCATTGATTTCCAATTACCAGAAGTTGCATTTAATTTCGTTTTGACTTTTGGTGTATCTTGTTCTTCTAGTGCACTTAAACTACATGTTGGTAATATTCGATGTGGAAAACGCGGTGAACCTTTGATACGTTCACGTAGTGTTATTTGATTGCTATTTTGCATTGCTATTGATGATCTTCTGCCAGCTGGTAATTGAAAATTAACTTTTGTTTCATGTGGTTTAATATATAAGTGAGTTGTTTTAAAATTTTCTTTTGATGATGTATTTTGATTATCACATAAAAATGTGGGATCAATTGTTGTACGATCAATATCAGTACTACTTTTAACTAAACTACTAACATTTGGTTCATTTAAATTTTTATTTGTGTTATAGAGTGCATTACAAGAGGCTGTTGTTTCAGATCCTGGTATTAAACGACTAAACATACCCATATGACTTTTAAATGCAGCTTTTAAACCAATTTGATTATTTGATAAACTAATTGATGAACCACGATTACTTGATGAATGACGTGAAAAAATTCCACGTATACGATTAATAATACCACCTTTATTTTCGGATGTTGCCTGTTGATGTGCTAAACGAAGATTGAGTAAATCAGCAGCTGGTAAACATACTTCTGCTACAGATCTTTTATCTTCTAAATGTGGATGTGATGAAAATGTTACTGATCTACGCATTGGAACTTGCATATATTCAGCTGATGGCCAACTTGCTCTTGGTATAACTGGTGGTAAAACTGATAATAAAAGATATGGTAAACCACCAGTTATACTTGGTGTTCTTGATTTTGGTGCTGTTGTTGGTGCACCAAAACATATTGAACCAGCTGTTTCAGCAGTTATATTAATTTCAGGCTAATTTTTTTTTTGCATTTAAAGAATAGAAAATGAAAATATAAAAATTAAATTAATTTTTTTTGCTTGTTGCATATCAGATTAAATTTCAAATTAAATATGAATCTGATGAAAAATTATGATGTGTAATCGAAGTCTGACAAATAGATCAAATCTGATGGAAAAATGGAAAACTAGCTATTTTTTTAAAAGCTAGATTTTTAAAAACTATATGGTGAAAACTCTATTTTTTAAAAAGCTTCCTCAATCAGTTGGTCTTATGTTTGATTAAAATAAAAAATTTCCCATAAAGCTGTAAAACAAATTTGATGTGTAAATGCCCATCAGATTTTATATTAAATCGTAAATTTACTCTGAAGTGTAACTGGCCCTTGGCACCTTATTTATAAAATTTAATTAATGTATGTATGTACCTTATTTTGTGGAAATAATGATGCATTCGAAGATGTACTTGCTGATGAATTTGTATCTAAAAGTTTTTCTAATCTATGGATTTCAGCATCCAATGCTAAAATTTCTCTTTTATAAACACGATTTTGTACTTCTACTCTATATTGAAGTTCACGTTTATCATCGATTACAAAACGTCTTGTATTACATTCCATTTTTAAGCCCATACTATGAATAACAGGATCAACAACATCATCTAAATTGAATATGTAAATATTAAGTATATTTTAATATGCCAATGTAAAAGGAAACAAAATGAAAAAGAAAAACCCTTAATGGAAAATGAAAACACACACACAAAAAAAAAAAAAATAAGAAAAACAATACTGACAATGACAAAAGAATGAAAAATGTAAATTAAGTTAAAAGAATCTATAATATCCTTCCTTATTATGTATGTGTGTGTGTGTGTGTGACACACTATATACATTCTATGGTTTTTATATAAATTACAAAAAGGCAAAGGTGTGTCTGTTTTTCTTTTCTCGTTTCTTTTTTTTACTTCTCATTATTTCGTCTTTTTTATTAAAGACTTTTTAATAACAGAAAAATAAAATTTACATGCCATTATGGTGATTTTGTACTTATACAATTTCCACAACAATAAAAGGTGTTAATCCTTAAGTACGCCTCATCTGTTTTCTCAATTTTTTATTTTCATTTTTGTTTTTTTTTTGTAATCGTTTTGTTATTGGCATTTTTTGTTTGTTCCTTTTCCTCTTTTACATCATTTAATTTTATATACTTACTATAAACCTGCTATAGCAGAAGCTGTATAATATATGTGTGTTATCAAATATATATATATGTATATATATAAATATATGTATAAATTTTATCATCGTATTATAATGATTTAATAATGAAAATTGTTTAGTATAATTAATTTTAATGTCAATCTGTTAAAAGAAGTGATTTACTAAACGGTATATACCGTTGACATAACCTCTTTTTCATATTATGCTATACTTGTATAATACTTAAAAAATTTTATAACCACTCTTAAAATAAGGTAACACAATCTCAGAAGTGTAATTAAGTTGTCTTTAACTTGTTATGTAATGTTAAAGGAATGTAAATTGTTAAGAGAAGAGCAATGAAGGGATGAGAGAATTAAAAGAGAATAATATTTAGTGTGAATAATAAATTCTTATTGTAATATGATGAAAACATTTGAACAGGTATAAATACGAGTACTTCGATTTTGTATACCTTTCTAGACAAGGAAAATTTTTTATTTTTCATTTCTTCTTTTTTTTTTTGTAGATATTTTTGGTTTAGGTAGGATTAAGCAGGAATAATAGATTTTAGTATTTATTCTTGTTATAAAGAGATTTTGAATAATTATTTAAGGTTCTCTCTTATTTTTTTTTTTGTAAAAAAGTAAATTTTTTTGAGGTTAAATTTATTTAAGAATATAAGAGAAAAAATAAGAAGAGATTTTAGAATTCAAGAGTATAGAAAAGAAAGAAGAGTAATTCCAAAAAGTAATTCTGTTTCTTTCTTTCTTTTTTATTTAAATTGATTAATTTAAATATTTGTATAGATTTTTTTAAATTTAACTAACTTGTTTGAATAAATTATAAAATATTGAAAAATAACAATCAAATCAATTTTAAAATTAAAATATACGCTACTTAAGAATAAAATGATTGAAAAGAAATTAATTTGATGATTTTATTTAAATAACTGCAAATATCGATTGTACTATACAAATAATATTTACAATATACATATTTATTTACTTACTTCTTGCAAGTATATCATGTAATTTTGGTATAAATAATAAACATAATGTTGCTGTTGTTGATGTTAATATTAATGTTGTTATTGTTATAAATGCTAATGTTACACGTCCTGATATTAAATTTGCTAATACAACAACAATAGCACTTGTTATTACAACACTATAAACTGAAACACCAATATATTGTGAATCATTTAATGCTGGAATTTTAACATGTCTTGTTTCCCATGCCATATAAACGCCAACAATTAATAAAAGTCCTTTATAAGCATATAAGAATCCTAACCAACCTTGTGTATGCTGTGAACGACAAACTTCAACCTGTATATAAAAATTTATTATATACTATATATATAAATATATAAAATAAATAAAATTATATGATATGAAAACAAGTATAATGTAAAAAAAAAAACAAAAAAAAAATAATAAAATAAAACTTTGTTTTTTTTTTCTCTTTCATACCATTTTTTATTTTTTCTTCTTTTGTTTATGATTTTTTTTCATTTCTTGTATTATTTTGTAAGGATCAAAACCGAAATAAGAAAAACAAGCCAAAAAATAAAATAAAATATAAAGAAAATACTAAAATTTTTATCCTTTTTGTAAGTTGATTTTATTTTTAATGTAAAGTCGAAAAAGTAAAAGTTAACATAATTGAAAGTGGAGTTAACTGTAATTTTATAAATGAATTTGTGGTTTGTTTTTCTCTTTAAATTCAGGTCAGTTTTAAAATAACCAAAACAAAATATTTGTATATGAAAATTTTTTTTGAATTTTTGTGGTTTTATATGCGATTAGTATATAGAAAGTTTAACTCTTGAAGAATGTCTTAATTTAAAAAAAAAAAATATTTTTTTAGTAATTTGTTTTTATTTTTAATGGTTTTTTCTTATTGAGCACTTAAATTCTATAAAGAGTAAGAGGTTTTTTTTTTCATAAAATTAAAAGTTTATTTAAATTGAATAAAATGCAATTATTTTATTTAAGTTTATTTGGAATTACAAAAAAAAATTGTTATAATTTTCAACAACGTATTAATTGTAGAATAATTCTAGAGCTCAATAGCTTGCATCAAAGTTCTATATGGGTAAGTTTAATGTACAACGGTTGTAATTTCCTAAATATAATTTAATCACGTATAGAAGTAATTTGCATTTTTTAAAATATTTAAACTTTAATTTGAAAAATTAATTTTTATAAATTTATTTTTTATAGGAAGATGTTTTTTAATCACAAGTTTCTTCTAAACATTTAAGTAATAATGTAAATAAAAATTTTGTAAAAAACTCTAAATTATACGTAAATTGACCAGAAAAAATTGAAAAATTTAAACACTGCCAACATTTTTTTTTGAAGTAAATAAACAAATAAATAAATATAAAGGTCTCAGCTAACAAAATTCCTATAAGTAATACATCGTTCTGTAATCTGTTGAATAAGCGTATACGAATTTGTTTTATAATTTGTATATGAAAAGTTTTCACACGCTCCACCCTATAATTTCTTGGTAAATTTTGGATATCTTAATTGTCGAAATAAGTAGCGATATTTGCGTTTCGTTAATATAATATTACAAATGTTAACATTCCTTTTGCATTGATAACAGTTACAATATTGTGCTATATAAAAAGTAGTTGAGATGAAGAATTTATTAATTCTGGCTGAAGAAAATATAAAATGAAAATTTCTTCATAAAACCGCAGAAGAAATGGAATGAGTCAAAGAAAATTAAAAAAATTTTTATCAAATTGGATATGAACCAATGATTTATTATTTTCAAGGCGGACGCTTCAGTAGCCGTAGTACAAAAATATGAAGAAGTTATTGGTAAATTGTTCTCCACATTTATTGTTACAGTAATCGACATCATTACTTTGTATTGTTTACATGCGATCATTTTTCATAAAGGGTCATACATTTTTGACACAATTAATTAAAATAGAAGAAGAATGTAATTAAAACTTTTAATTTTATTTGAAATCTAAAATATTAAGTCCTCTAAATATTCAAATTTTTTATATTTTATATAATTTTAAAGTAGACAAATGTTTTATATTTATACTAACGTAAATCAATTCTTAAATTCTTAAAGAAAACATCACAAAAACATGTACAAATAAAATTTGCGTATATCCGTTCAAATGTTATACAATTGTATAAAATTTGATTGCAATAAGAAATTCATTTTGATAAAAATAAAAAATAACATAAATAAGAAAAATACATTTTAATCTGTTACATTTGATTAGATTTCGAAACTGAAATACCTGTATTGAATTAAAATTATATTATCATTTTTTTTTGAAAAGAAAATTTTATATGCTGTCTAGCCGTATATTTCAGGAATTCTGTCAATTCAAAAGAAATAAATCAAAATTTATTTCAAGATATTGAAATTTATTTTTTTTTTCCTTTTTTGAATAATAAAGTATGTATTATGTAAGAGAATATAAAAATAACGAAAATTGGTAGAGAGTTGTTCCTGTCAACTCTTTAATAGCTTTACGAAATAAATGACTGTCAGGGTTGAATGAGAATTGCAATATCTTCATAACTCATAAAGTGCATATTTCTTCAACTATAATAAGGCTTTTTAAATAGTAGGATTCCATTTGCAACTTTTCGCTACAGAAGATTTTCTGTAATAGTAAAGATCTTCTGTAATGAATTTGTATGGTATTCACTGACATGTACTCATATTACAGAATTTTGAATAAATTTCTTATTTATGTAGGGACTCAGAGTAATTTCGTTGATGATTTACTTAAATGACATTATTTCTGGAACTTGCAACGAGATGCGATAGTTGTACACAATTGCAAATTAATTTTTATAGTAGTACTTTTTGCTACTAAAACTTTTTGCTTGAGATTTTGGAGCTGCAGCCTTAATATAGTTCCTGAATTGTGGGTTCATATTAATTTTAATATTATATGGCAGCTTATTCAGCCTATAATTAGATCGTATTGATTTTAAAAAGACGAAGTATACATATATAATCACCAAGGGATTATATTTATAAGCGTTACAAATGAATACATTTCCAACTTCTTACACGAAACAAGTTTGTTTGAATATTAAAAATTCATATAAAATTTATTTTAATATATGTATATGTATGTGTTGTACAAGTGAATATTGTATATGAATGTATAACATTCATCTACTTATATTCAATATAGAATTTAACATTTAAATAACCTTTATCCTTTTTTCAAGAAGAAGAAAATCTGATTGAATATAAAATAAGAAAAATAAAAATAGACATTGTCATTTTTTTAAGCTTCCGAAAATTGTTACAAAACAAACATTCATATACATATGTACATATATTCTCCTTCAAGCAACAATTGCTATACATACAGACACACACGCCCATATATAAATAATACCATAAAATATTGAAAATGTAATCAATACTATTATAATAATTTTTTAATGTAAATATAATACAAGCATTATAAGTATGTATGGCATAATATTTGTAAAAAATTTTGTATTCAAATAAAATTATTTATTAATCAATATTTTGAAAAAAATAAAAATATATTCTTATGCATTATTATATTGTACATAGAAATTAGATACATATACATATATATATATATATATAGATATTTATATAGATATTTATATACCTGTGGCTGATAAACAACACTTCTGTCAGTTGAACTGATTTCTAATGTTAAATTATTCAAATGTCGTTCAATTGGATCCATAACAATCCATAATGTTACAACAAGACCATCTAAAATCAGTAGAGCACATACAAGTGATATCAATTGTGTATCCTGTAACATTTTATCCTTACAAACACCACTTCCTGAACGTGTAAATATACGATGTACACGATATGTTTTAGCAAACATTGAACCGAATGCTAAAGAAAATCCTGCCGATAGCAGATATACTCGTGCCTTTAAGTAAAAAAAAAATTAAATATAAGTTTTCTGTTTTTTTTTTTCTTTCCTTTTCTCTCTTATTTCATTATGTTTTTTTTTAAATTATAGAATTTTTGAATTTTTTTTTTCTCGACTTGTTTTCTTATTTTCTTTTTCATATTTTAAATAAAATGTAAAATAATATTATAACAATAAAATATACAAAAATATAATAGGGGAGAAAATATAAAAAACAAAAAGAGAAATTAAAATGGAAAAAAGTTAAATAGGAAAAAAAAAGAGAAATATGAAAACAATAACATGGTCCCGATCACATGAAGTGAGCAAATAAATGACATTGTGTACTCATGTATGTAAATGTTTGATATAACGGACAGTTTAAAAAGTCGGGCGGGGGAGAATAGAGAAAAGAAACTAATGAAATGAGTTGTAGTGTAGTACTGTTATTAATTTTACAGAAATTTTTGTAGAGAAAAGAAAAATTTCAAGGTTTTAAATAGTGTAAATTTTCTCATTTTTGTTTGCTCTTTATTTTTAATTTTTACAATATTAAACTCATTTAAATTTGTGAACATTTCAGAATAACTATTAAAAACATTTTATTTTAAAGGATTTATAGAGTATATATGTAAGAATAAATGTACTGAAGGATTTGTGAGAATTTAACAACATGGATAAAAATAATTTTGTTTCGAATTTCATGTTATGAATATTTTTATGTATTTTATTTTTTCTCTACTTTATTTTTATTATTGTAATATTTTTTTCATTTAAAGTTTTTGGTCTTTAAATGCTTCGGGCAATCAGTGAATAATTCTGTTTCATTACATACTTACAAAGTTAAAAATTTTTGTTAAAAATAAGAAATTAAAAAAATAATTATTTTTAATATATTTGTGTATATAATAGGAAGTGTTTATTTATTTATGTAATTATTTTGTAAATATAAATTGTAATGTTACATTTAAGTAGAATAGATCATATTTCTATTTAATTTATTTTTTCTGATTTAAAAAAAAATTGCATATATTACGGGGCAATCATAAGGGGGTGATTTAAAAATACTATAACATAAATAATTTTATTTTGCGTGTTCATTGAAAAAAAATTTCATATTATGTTAAGGAATTATAATTATATTTACTCACTATTATTTATTGTTATATTTTGCAATATTATATTTGTATAAAAAATTGTAAAGGGTACCTCTATAACATGCCTTTTAAAATATCTTTTAACATTAATGAATTTAATATGTTTACTATTGCATGTATGTATATAGTATCAGACATTAATAAATGACGCACAATGGTAATGTTTGTGTTATGTAGTATAACTATAATTGACATTTAAGCATTAAAAGCACTTAACAATTTTCGACAATCTATATACATATACGATCTGTGCGTATTCTGTTTTAAGTACAATTTCTCTTTCTTTTATATAATTTTCTAAAAGAGTAAATAATTATAGATATCTCTTTGAAATTTAAATGTTTCGAAAATCATGTAAAAGCATATTAATTTAATTATATTTCTTTTTGTATAATATTATTTAGGCAATTAACTGTTAAAACTTGAATTTTGCAAATAAATTCAATTATGCTGTATTTTTATTGTACATACACTTAAAGTTGGCATATCTACATAATAAAAATTTAAATGTCTAACAAGTTAAAAAGTCAAAGACATTTGAAGAGAATATAGAAAAAATTTTTCTTTTATAGTTTGGAAAGAATTTTTCGACATAAAAACTTTTCAAATTATGTAATTTTTAGGACTTTAACATGTCATAACTTTCAAAAGTGTAGGGTGATGATTGAGAAGTTTCTTCAAGGGAAATAAGTTTTTCAAAAAAAATTATCTAATTGTATTCAAGAGTACACTCTTTGTGAATAGTATAAAGGAAGAAAGTATCTTAACAAATGCATGTTCGTCAAAATAACAAAGTAATAAAAGTTTACCTTTTCAGCTAATTTTCTTTGTAATCGCAAACTAAAACTAAATTGCGCTCATTTTTCTTAAAATTTCTCATAAAAATTGTATAGACTATAGGGAAAAATATTTTTATACAAATAAGCTGTTGTACAATTTTGAATGTAATTTTATTTAAAATACTTCTTTTAGACTAAAATTATTATAAAATTTTATTACCTTTCTCTTTCAATATCTTTTGTTAACAAAAATTGAACATTTAAGGCTATTATATTGCTTCTTAATACAAAGCATTAAATTTTAATTACACATTATTAACCAAGAAAAAAAAAGAAATATATTCTAACTTATAAAATTTTGGAGAAAAAGAAAAAACAAAGGAATTCTTTTAATTAATCAAAATATTTCGGACTTTTTTCATAGTCTAGACTATAGACATCTGTTGCTCAAATATACTCAAAACACAAAAAAAAAGTATGAGTAAATCTTAAAGGTTTGAATATTAATGATCTTGTTCTTGGATTTCAAATTCTAATTTAAATTTCTTTTCTTTAAATTGGACAATTTTCTTATATAGATTTTCTAAGAAAAAGTATTCTGACGTCAAACACTAAAATCTTAACACTTTATTTTCACCATGAACAGAACTCTTTGTCATAATATACCCAATTTATATCTACAGGTATATACATAACATAAAATATATTTTTATTTGTTTGTTTGTTTGTTTCTACTCATTCTGGGTTGACGCAATATGACTGGTAAAATATTTTAAAATAAATTTTTGAATGCCAATTTTTTGGTTGCTTTATATTATATAAAATCTAATTTATGCATAAGTTTATGCTGATTCCCTTTTCTGTAATAACTCTTTAAATGGTGAATATAAGAAAAAAAAAAATTCTATTTTGCTTTTGATGCTTGTTTTGTTTTTTTTTTTTTATTTAACACTGCTATACATTGTGTATAACAAATTTTCAAAAGAATTTAACGAATTATCATAATATAAAAATATATAGAGAGAAAATGCTCGCATCATATTCGCAAATCACAAAATCAAAACAAACAAACAAATAAAAAAATAAAACGTCATGTTTACAATCTGCTTTAAAGGTTTTATTGCCATATTTATAACATTTTTGTTGAGAGAATCCTTCATTTTTTATATTATGCATATATAATTTTCTCATTTTTCCAAATTTTCCCCCTCTTCACCTACGCATTACACATAATTTTCATATTTTATACTGTATACGCGTTTTTATATAGTGTACTCTTTCTACATCAGTTAATATTAAAAAAAAAAAAATGTTCACCTCGTTTATTTAGCGAATGAAGACAAGTGTATGTAAATATACAAACAAAAAATATGAAAGAAAGAAGACAAAAACAGAAATTATAATAAAAAAAATAAAAAAATTAAATAAAAACATAAAACGTATATAATAATAATATTGAAGGTGAAGGATGAACATGTAAAAAAGTTAAACTTTTTAAAAGACAAAAAAAGGATGAGGGAAAACAGAAAAATGATTTTTTTTTTCCAATTTTTTTTTATTTTATATTTACTGAAAATGATTTTTTAAATGGAAAGGAAAATATTTCATTTCCCTTTTAAATTTTGTGTATTGACACAAGATCTAAAATTTTGAATTACGAGCATAAATATCGTAAATAGTAGATGAAGAGCTTTAAATTTTACATCACGTTTCATTTTTCATTTTTGATTTGTGTTAATTTAATAATTTGGTCATTCATCATCCATCTCTCGTGTATTTAATTAAAGTATTTATTGAAATGTTGTCAAGCTTACTTTTATTATACAAACTTTTATCAAGTTTTAGAATCTTAAATACAGCTAGCATTAAAAATTTCCGATCATATTATATGAATACGATTCAAACTTCGGATTGTCTTGCGTTAAGTACTCTATACGTCGCAACTCGCATATATGATATATCGGACATGACACGAAAAAATTTGTTAATATTCTTAAAATCTCTAGTGTTTTTAGTTTCCTGAGAAATCTTTTCAAACACTATTTGCATATTTTCGATTGGAGTTCAAAGTACATTATTAACAATTAATTACTTGTTAATATGAACGTTATTATTGTCTAATATAAAAATATCTGATTTAAACTGAATAGGTCTTCTTTCAAAGCTGTAAATCGTGGTTTGAAATTGAGATGAAATTGAAAATTATGACACAAAATATTTTCCGTCCTTCCAATATTTTAATTTCAAATGAATTATTTATACAAGACTCTTTGTCCGCTACTTGATTGGCGAAAAGCTCGATTTCGAATTTATTTTTTAAGGAATGATTGTTTAATGTACTTTAAATTATATTTAGACTTAGTCTAAAGTTTATTGGTTATTAGTAGTTAATATAATAAAAATGTATATTAGAATGACAGATTGATCATCTCAGTATTTTCAATATCAATGTTTGAAATAATGACAACGTAAGTTGAAAATGTCAAATTAATTTTTTCTCTCTTCAAATCTCTTTTGCTATATTGAACAATAATTATAATAATATTCAATAACTTTCATAATTATTTTATTAAAATTATTATAGAAGCAGAATTTTAATTTAATTAAAATTAAAATTTAATTAAAATTATTGTGTCCGATAATTAGATTTTAAATAATTTAAAGTTATTTCATTGATACGATCTATGTATAAATAAAATATTACACCAAGAAATCTTTGAAATAAATTTGTAAATAGTCTAAACCTTTATAATCAAAATGCAAACTAAATTGTATTTATAGCATATAGGAAGAGACTGAACAAATTTGTTTGGAATAATAAAGTAATATTGGTAAAGAGACATTTAGTGCGCCCTCGATTGGCGCTGAATTTAATATTTAGTTGTAAAACGTTTCCATAAATCATAAATTGAAAGTGATTTACTACAAATAAGATTTTTAATAAACATAATTATTAATTGATACGAACATTTACGGACCACTCACCCATAGACTTTGTATTAATATTAAAGTATATGGGGAAAAATCTGTTATTCAAGTAAGTTTGTATTGTACCTACATTTTCTTAAAACAAAACATAAAAAGACATAAATTTAAAATTTAAATTTTCTTATAAATGCTGTGAAAAAGACCTTAAAAAATATTTGGGTCATAAAAAGAAAATGTTGGTATCAAATAAAAACATACATTTTAGTTTTTGAATAACTTTTAAGTCAAAGTAACTTTTATGTGTATAATATGTGGTAGGTATAGTGGTTTTCTCGCAAGTGAGAAATTATGTGGTTATAAAAAGGATTTTTTTTTGTTAATTCATTCACCACATTGTCATATCGTTGATATGGTCGTAAATGTTGTATGTTAATATATACGAGTAGGTGTTTATTATAATTTATAGGTATGTATACATGTTTATCTAATATTATGTATTGACAAGATGATTTAACTTTAAGTAAAAATTATTGCCGCAATCCTATCAAATGTATTCTTATTAGTATTAATAAGAATTGTAGTCTTTACTAATAATTATAATATGCTGAAATATAATTTTAGAAAAAATGTTTTTAAATTCGGTTTACTAGCAATTACCAGCATTTTATTCAAATGAGCCTTTGTTATTATATATCAGATATTATGTTCAGAAAGACTTAAACTAAAGACTTATGTTCAGAAAGATTTTAATTCAGTTGTTTTAAATATTTAGAATTATTGGATAATGCACTTCCCCGTTTAAAAGTTATAGCCTCTCAAGGATCTATATATGCAATTTTTTCACCATTAATTGTAACAAAAATACAAACATTTTTTTTAATTCCGCAAAAGCAGAAAGCTACCACAAGATGCTTTCTTTATTATACCCTCACAGTTAAGTTTTAGATGTATAAAATGTCCGCAAAAGTTTTGAAAATTTTTGCATAATCGAAAAGGTAATGGTACATGCCATACGATTAAAATGAATAATCATTTTTTTTAAATCACTAAATCATTAATCCTAAAAGTATGCAATAAATTTATATATTTTTATATTGCAATATATAAATAAAAGTAATTTCTGAAATATTTTTAAAAGCAGTTCATCACTTGTACAAGGGAAAAGAGCTTCTTTATGTGAGTAATGCCTTGTTTTTTTCATTTATTTCATTTTCAAAATTCTAGTATTGTTGGCATGACACTATGACTTTTTATTTTGATAATTTTAGTTTCTCAAATTCGTTATATAAATCAAATTTATTACTAAATTCATTTGTACATTGAAAACAAGTTTGAGAAACTTAAATTTCAAAATTTAATGGTAAAATTTAAAAGTCCATGATAAAATGTTCAATTAACACAACAATTTCAAAATTTTATACAAGTTTAATATTTTTTTGTTTAATACAATTTAAAAGTTCAATTATTTCGAATTGAACAGTTTTTACATTTTAAACACATAAAAATCTCACGTTAATTAAATTTATGTTGATGAACTTTTACATTTTATAAATAATTGTAATAAAAAAAGGTGAAAAAGTAAAATAACACTTAATTAAATTTTAATTTTTAGCAATAAATTTGCTTTTAACCCTTAAATTTTTTATTTTTTATGCCAATTTATTTCCATATAAAATGATAGAAAAATAAAATTAAAGAGCAAAACAATTTTCCTCTTATGCTATTATGTCAAATACCTTTAACATGGACGATCTGGTGACAAACGATTGCAAACAGAAAATGCCATAAACAAAAATGAAAAATCAATTTTTTTTTTTGATTTTTGTTCTTATGAAGTTTTCCTTGCTATAATTTTTACATTATATTTACCGTTATACAGAAATTGCATCGAAAATGCACATTAACTGCCTGAATTACAACTAAAATTTTCATTCGTGAATATTTGAATACCCAGGACGTTCTATGAACATTTATATCCTTACAATTACATTTGACATTTTCATATACGATTCTTATATATTATATTGTGTATAGTCATTCAACTAATTAAGATTCAGGGTAAAAGTGTAAGACTAACAGAAAAAAACCAATTATAAAATTTTTGTTCCTCTTTTTATTCACAAATTATGTAAATCATCGTAAACGAAAATAAATAATAATTGAAATCATAAAAGTCCTCTATAAAATTTGTGTGCATTGTTTGTATAATGCCAAACATAAACCAACGATAATTGTAGGTATACACCGAATAAACTGGTTTGTAAAGTAGCACATTTATATGATAATGTGAGGGAGGAAAAGAGCTTTTAGAGTTTGAAGTTCGAAAATGAAATTCTAATTAAATTATTTATTAATAAGTTTTGTTATTAATATACTCGTAATTGCGAAAGAAATTAAAAAAAAAGAAATAAACTTGCTTAAGTTAATCTAAAAAATAAATTTAGTAATATATTTTTCGATTCGAGCTTTAATATAACGGTAAATTTTCCTGTAACTTATTGATATAGAAAAATGTATACATCATAAACTTTCTGCGTTTGGTTAACTCACATATGTCTGAAGGTTTCAGCACAATAAACGTGACAAAAATCTGAAATTTTTGCAACTTTTCAGGCAGTAGATGAACGAAGAGAGACGAAGAGAAATATTTTTAATTTATTAAATTACTTTTCAAGCTTAAGTCACCGTTAATGATTCATATATAAATAAATAACCTACCTATTGTATACACAATACGGTCGGTAAAAATAGTATAGATTAGTTTTGCACTTAAAAAAATCTCATCTGATTTAATTAAATTGTGTGAGCTTGTGTAATGGTACCGAATTAATTTAATAATATTATGGCCAACAAAATGATCGTGATGAAAAATCAGATTGAATATAAAAAATTTTATATTTTTTAAATGAATGGTGATGACTGGAAAAGTGAAACAAATGCTTACATAAATTTGAGATTTGTTAATTAGTTCCTTTGTAGAAATTTTCTTTTCTGAACATAATTACGAGTATGCTTTCAAAATGTTTGTGTCGTCACAAGTATACTGTGGATTTTAAGGTTAACTATTGAACTTATATTATTGATGGGTACCTTAATGCTTTAACAAATTAATATGTTTACGATCGAGTGAAGGAGAAGTAGAAATTTTTTGAATTAAGAAATATTTTATGCTAGTTTTATTGTTGACACTCAAATAATTTTTCAAATAATTTTTTAAAAACATTAGAAATCATGTATTCAGCCCGTAACTTTTTTTTCTACTTGAATTTTTCAATACAAATCTTTAATTTGTATAATATAGGAAGCTCGGACTAGATATGCACTCGTATATATGTACATACAATAATAAAATAATAATAAATGGGTAAAGAAGAACTAATATCAAAAAAATATTTTCATAATGTATGGGAACCGGTAGCCATGTTAAATTCTCTTAAATATTTTCTATATATTTTTTTTAAAATTTGACGCATTTTTATCTATTATATGTTGGTTATAGGCTGTCTTTAAATATATTGCAGAAAAAGCATACTAATTAAAATTAATTTCAATATATGTACATACACACATACATATATACTATACACATAATATACTCACCGTGCACACTGTTGCAAAAGCATTTTCAGAATGTGGAAGTGTTGCAAAATCTAATCCTAAAAGTATAACTGCCATATAGACTAAAATACATCCAAATGCTGTGATATTACTTAATTTGGGGCTTGAAAGTTTAATAGCTCTATATTAAAATTGTAAATTGGAAAAAAATTTTTAATGTATTTTTTAATTCATTTTGCAAAGTCAACATAATAAAAAAAAAAATGTGTGTAATTCAAACCTACTTAAGTTTTCGGAAATGTAAATTAAATGCTAAAAAAGCTATAGACAATGCTATTCCAAATGATGAAATCGTTGCAATTGTATAAAATGCTAATGGTGCAATTGTTACTACTCTCAATTTGAAAATTCTTTTTGCTATCGGTATTTGACCACTATGCCATTTTATTGTTTTACAATTTGGACAGTGAAAATCTAAATTTCTTTCAGCTGGATAATATAATGCAACAGGTTCTAAAGTACCTTTTTGTATTTGATAAAATGCTGTTGTACCAATTCGATCAGGTCCACTAAATGATACTGGTCCCTAAGAAATTAATAATTTTTCTTTTCTTCTTTACTATTTTTTAAGAAAAAGTAATTAAATTTAATGGGTATACATACGGAAACACCAAGAAAATTAAGTTTTCCTATTTGTTGTAAAAATTCTAATGCCATATCATATCTAGTATAATCAAAATTATCTAATTTTGATTGATTTTTTGTTTGACTTTTCCAATGATCTTCAGCTCCACGTAATGCAAGTGCTATTGCCCATACAGCATCATAAGTTTGCGGTGCATATTTTGACATTGGTTTTGGTACTTTCATTAAATTTAATTCATTCAAAAACATTTCATTGTTCTATAAATATAAAAATAAAAAAAAAAAACATATTTGTTATTAAGGGAATATTGAATGGCATTTGATTCAATAAGATTTGAAATGTAATACAGCACGTAATGTCGCACCTGCAGAATAAAATTATTAGATATTTATGATATTAGAAAATAGCTTCAGTTTTTAAGAATATTTTTAAGAATATTAATTTACTACATTTTTTAAATAAAAGTACCTCAAGGAAAGATTTCCTAGCCATAACATAAAATGTGCATTCAGTTAAGCTAAACACTTTTGAATCACATATTATCAAATTGATTTATCGCTGAACGACTTTTTTCTCAGAGTGCTTAAAGTTTATAAGTTTTGTTTTTATTTTCACATTGACAATTATTTGGCATTTAAGGGGATAATTTGGCATGCATTAGAGCACTTGACTTAAATTGTAGTGAAGCTATTGTAATGGATTTCAATTTAGAACTAGTCGGCGACATATTTTTTTACAACAAAAAATTGCTCACATTTTTACCAAAAATATTGCAAAACCCTCAATGTAAAGTAAATGGAAGTGGGTACAGAATAGTGCTATCATTATTTCATTTTTATAATATTTTGTATTGTTGCAGTGTTATTTTACAGGTGCGATATACATACTTATATGCACATTGAATACAAAAATTTCTATTTATAAATTTTCTAAATATGGAATAAATTCATGTATGTACATGTAATTTATATTCATACATGCCTACTTAAATTCCAATAAAATAAGAAATTTCATTATATATTTATAAAGATTTTGCGTGAGATTTTACACGCAAAATACATAAAAAATAAAAAAGAAAAACAAAAATTTTATGTTACCAATCCGCTGAGACCAATCTGATTGCCAACAATACTATTATGACTGGAAACAATAATAAGATTTTCAACAGCTTCCATCAATTGATTATGAAAACAATCTGCATTATAAGGCAATCCAGATGAAATATATCCGGTCGATGATGAGGTTGATGATGATGATGATGATGTTTTTGTTGTTGTAGTTGTTGCCGTTGCAGTCGGTGTTGTTGTTGCTGTAGCAGTTCTTATTGTAGCTGTAGTTGCTGTTCCTGTTTTTATTATTGTAGATGAACTAGTTTTTACCGGAAATTTTTCATTTGACCCAGAAGAAGTTGATGATGATGATGATGATTCAATAAATGATGTTAATGATGATAATATTGATTTTTTATCTAACCATGGTGGACTCATACTTTCATGTAATATCCATGCATAATCAGCACCAAACATACCAAGTTTATAGGCTTCACAGAATATTTTTGGTGCAAGTTCCTTTGAGAAACTTCCAATAATAATACGTGTATCAAGATCCTTTTTTAGTTTTGTTTTTTTGTTGTGTTTGTTATTTTTTGATTTGGTTGTGGTTTTTGGTTGGTTCATTCCATTTAAGAAAGAAAAGTTAAGAATTATAAATAAAAAAGGATAAAATGTTTAGCTTTTCTCTTTATTATTATTATTTTTTATTTTTCTTTTAAAAAGAAAGAAAAAGTTTTTAAAAGTTTTTGATTCAAAAAATTGAATTATTCAAAAGAAAAATAAATAAACGCTTTTATATAGCTATATATACCTACATAATGAATAAATAGTATGTAATTATATGTTCATGTATGTTAAACTTTTGATGATCATAATATCAAGAAAATTATAGAGCTTGTAATGACAGTTTATACTTCTTAAGGAACTTTTTCAAATTAAATTGTTTGAAGTTTTCGAATTTCTGTTTTATTTTTATATTAATAAAGTATATAACATAACGAGTTAGTTATGTTCTAAAATACAATTTCAATTATTTTAAATATTTCCCTCGTAAACAACTATTATACGAGCAAGTATTGCGAGTATATTAGTTCTTAAAGGAGAATAATGAATATAAACAAGGATATTATTAAAGAAATTTAATCATGGACATTAAGTATAATATTTTTAAAAGATTTAGGATTTCATACAAACAATTTTTCTTTTAATAATAGACAAAAGTTTCACACTTTTTACCACATTTCCAAAAAAATTTAATATAATTTGATTCTGTCGGTCCACCCTTGTTTTCAAATTCCTAAATTCTTGAAAATTTTTTATATGCACATTGTTATCGCTATGAAGCCTATTTTCGTTTAAGCCAATCAGGGTGGCTCAAATATGCAATTCTTTAACAATATTCACTATAACGAGAATACAAAATTGTTTGAAATTTCGCAAGAAAAATTTAAAAATTTTTTTTTTTAGTTTCAGGCATTAATAAATTTTTAATAATTTCATTTGAAGAAAATGTCTTTCTAAATCCCCCCTCTTCTCTCTAGAGTTGCCGACTCTGAAAGTGATCAAGATTTTAAATTTTAGCAGCTCATATTTTGTTCTCATCCTAAATGATATGCAATAATTATCACGTATTAATGCACGAATTTTATAAAATTAGAAAAATGTAACAACATTATAATTACAGAACATGGGTTTAAAACAAAAGTATGTAATTTCACTTGGAAATATGCTACGTTACAAATCTTTGGTTTGATCCAAATTCAATAATAAGAGTATGTAATATTAATGCTTTAATCATATACTCAAATTTAGTTTCTTATTAAATATCTTGTGTATAAATCTCAAAGTTATTAGAAGACTTAAAATTTAATTGCCCTATAATAGAAAAACAAAGAATTTAACAATAAATTGGTTAAATTTTCTACATTAATTATACTTGTACGAACGTATGTTCGAAGAGTATACTAAATTTACCTTACCATTTGTAATGCTGAAAAATAAAGGTGCGAGATAAGTATATGTCTTTAATCTGCGTCAAAATCTTAGTCGACTTAACTTTGTCTGTCAACGATAACTCAAAAACTAATTGAGCTAAGTTCACAAAATTTTAACAAATGATTTTTTATAGTAAATGCCAGAACCATATGTAAATTGTTTATGATCGCGGTACTGGTTCGGGTATTCCTGCCATACAACTTTCAAATTTATTTAGCTATATCTCATAAATTATAAAAGCCCTCGTATTGAAATTTCGCACAAGCGAATATATTAGTAGGACCAATGTGTGTGATAAAAATCGTTGAAATTTTTTGACTCCATATGGTAGCTACCATAGAACTTCAATTTTAGTTTGGCTTTATCTTAGAAAATATTGAAAACATAGTGCAAAAATTTTTGCTTTAATTAATATGGTAATAATGGCAACCTAAAATCATAGTCTGTCTTATAGTCAGCTATGACATATATGCTCGCCCATAGGACAAAAAATTGGTACTCGTATCACAGAGTTGACAAGGTCTCTATTTTTCCTCGTTTTTAGCACTTTTCCAAAAAAATTTTGAAAAAAAGTGCTTATTAGTTTCACTCTGTCCGTCCGTCCGTCCGTCCGTCCGTCCGTCCGACCGTCCGTCCGTCCGTCCGTCCGTCCGTCCGTCCGTCCGTCCGTCCGTCCGTCCGTCCGTCCGTGTGTCTGTTTACAAAACTTCTACACCCTTGAAGATAGAAAGCTGAAATTTTGTACGTACATAGATTTTTACTAGAAACTTATTTTTGTAGAACAAAATTTTTACCTATCTCCCCCCCTTTAGAAGTTATACCCCCCCAAAACCACAAAAATGGCCTATTTTAACTATTTGTTGCAATGAAACCATAAGCATTTTTGAAATTTTGCAAACGCAGAAAGGCAGTGGCTTACTTCCCCTAGCGCGGTATGCTATAGTCAAAATTTAGAAAAACAAAATGGCCGTTCAAATTTACCGTTATCTAAAGCCCTTTTTTTCCAAATTTTTGATGTCATTTTTCTTCTAGACCCCAGCCTGTAGAAGCTTGAAATTTTAGTGGCTTATAGAAATTAACAAATAGTTTATTTCGTTAGAAGAAAATTTTTTTCCATCTCCACCCCCTCTCAAGTTATCGCCTCTTGAAATTTGTAAAATTTGAATTTTTGGCGCCTTATATTTCCGAAACCGCAAACGTTTTCAAATTTCTATAAACACGAAAAGCTAACGGTAAATTCCATAACATTAAAAAATATAATTATTTTTCTTAACTCACACAATTAATCCTTAAAATCGAGCATTATGTTAACCCCACTTTATATTAATTTTTGCTTTATTTCAAAGACTGCATGTATGCATCATCCTAAATATATGCAATCCTAGAAATAGTTTTGTATATGAATGAAAATAATTTTAATAGTGTGATAGGTATACATACTCGTAGACTGTTACAGAATTTTCACTTGTTGAAGGGAAAAGTGCTACAATACAAACCATTGGTTTGACCCAACTTTATTAAATAATTTTCCAGAAATAAAAATCAAAATTAATTTAATTGATCGACTGACTGAATAGAAAAAAAAATTATAAACAAAATTAATTTATTTTCAATATTTTCATCACTTAACAGATTAATTTGATTTATTAAATAAATATTTTTTTTTTTATTTTTTCATTTTCATCACCACGAATGTTTAATATTACTCGTATCTATATTATAAAATTAATTTGTCAAAAAATATTCTTCATCCAAAATTGTAGAATAAAAATGAAATTGATAAAGAAATTACAAAACTAATTATAGAATTATTGAATAAAGAAAATAATAAGTGCTAAATGGCTATAATTTAAAAAAAAATATAATAAGAAAAAAAAACAAACAACAAATTGTTAACCATAAGAATCAAAATGAAGATATGAAAAAATTTCAAATTTTATTTTTTTCTTCTTCACGGACAACGCTCTTAATTTTTTAACAAACAAAATAAGTAAAAATTACTAATTTTTAGAGTCATATGAATTTTATTTTTAGTTTTTGGATTTAAAAAGAAATATTCAGAGATTTTTAAACTTTTTTTTTATTAATGCTCTTTATAGTCCAAGATTAGTTGGAACTTGGCATAATGAAACAAATAGAAAAAATTTTCCATAACTATGAAAAATAATGCGATAATAAAGATGTTGAGCACAATAAAATAAGTAAAATAAACAATACTCGTAAATTATAAATGGAAACAAAGAATTTATGAATCACATTTAATCTTATGTTTGCAAAAGTTATCAAATTTCTCAAATAAGATTTAATTTTAGATTTAATTTTATTGACATTATTGACAATTGATATTTGAACTAATATAATTTAGTTTTAGTTGACTTGTTTTTTATTTTTTTCTCTTATAAAAAATTTGACTTAGAAAATTGAAACCTTCCGAGAATAATTTTTAATAGGAAATTGATCAATAAGAAATGGAGTTAAGTAATGTTTTACATTTATTACCGAAACTGGTCTTTTAAGCCTTTTTAGAATGAAAGACATATTTAGGTAAAAGGGGTTTTAAGAATATTTTTAACGTCTTATTGTGAAAAATCTATATTAATTTTATTTAATTTGTTTTCAAATCCGATAAAATCTTACAAATTTAATATTTGCAGGATTTTCAAGCAAAATTTTTAAAGAGTAGCCTTCTCGATAAACTCATTTCAAATATTACGATAAAAATGAAATTTGACATTTTTGCCACGCCTATATACGATATGTCACATGGTGAATCTATCAACTTCTGATGTTTCCATGTTGATGAGGCTAATTGATAAACTTTTCGTGTATGTCAGTCCTATTCGATATTTTTGATTATTTTTAAAAACATTAAATATTTTAAAAATTTAAGAATATTAAAAATTTAAATATGTTTATATAATATATTTCAGCTGACAATCGAAAAAAAAATAGAAAAATTTTTCAATTTTAGATTTTTGAACTTTTCTTAGAAAATAAAAATTTAATTAATAAATTTTCCTAGTATTTTATATTTCAGTTATTTTACTCAATAGAGGTAGTTAAATATTTGATTTGCTGGAAGCTATTTCACTTTCTATATAGGGCAATTAATTTTTTATTTATGCTGAAGTTGCATATTTGTGATACTTGCAGTTTACGTATATCATACGAGTACTTAATGCGAATTGAAATTGCATTTAATAAAGAAATTCGCCTGTTCAAAAAAAACCTAAACTCATTCTAAAATGCGCATAATTTTTTATAAGAAATTTTGAATAAATTTTAAGCAGATTGTAAAAACTGTATAATATTTATATATATATATATAATACATTATTAAATATTATAACAATATAGAAAAAAAAAATAATTAAAAACTCATTTAAATTTAATGCAATAAATTTAATTATTTTTCTTAACTATAAAATACAAAATTATCTACATATGTATTTAAAAATTTTAGTACTTTAATTAATTTTATAGAAATATTATTTCTATATAAATGCATATTATGTACATAAATAGTACAAAAAAATATTAAATAAATTTTCCAACAATTATTTTAGTTTTTATTTGTGCATCATAGTGTGATAATGACATTATTTACCCATCTAGATGGTATAAGAATAATAAAAATATGTGTGTGTATGTACCATTTTTTGTATAAAATAAATGTAAAACTGCATAACACACACAAATATTTATGTATGAAAGTGCATTGTTGAAATTTACATGATAATGATATTTTTATTGTTATATTTATAAGAATTTATATGAACTCATATATAATTTTGTGAATATTTAATTAGTTTGGTATATAATTTTTAGAAATATAATTATGTTTGTATATGCATATTATATATAAAAATTTCAAGTTGAACTATATGTATATTTACAATAAAGCGAAAGTAATCAAAATTTTTATGAATTCGTGAAAATTTTACATTTAATTTTTATTAGATTTAATATAAAACTAAAAAAAAGAAAAATGCAGTTCTTTAAAATTAATTCTTATTTATACTGTCCAGTTACAAACTTTGTGGAATTTAAAATTATAGGTTTATAATATAATATAATTTATCTATTTGGGTATGTACTATTTGAACACCACAAAGTTTCAATTCAATTGGGATTTTCCTTAGATTGCTATTAAATAACACACTGCTTAACAATGTTATAGTTACATTCATTACAAAATTTTGTATTTTAAAAAATTTATAAATATCAAGAGTACTATGTGTAAGTTTTAGAATATTAAAACACAAAGTTGTGATGAAGAAAACGCATTAATTTCCTCTATTTCCTGGAATATATAACCGGAAATATAATTTTATTAATTCATTATACTAAAATAATAATTAATAAAGTATCTAGCCATTAAATATAATTTAAATATTTCAATTAATCCTTTGAAGAAATTACAATATTGATAAATAATAAATTTCATTCAATTACTAAATAAATAATTTTAATTCAAAAAAATAATAAGCAATCAATTTTAAATTTGAAAATTTTTCCAACAATATCATATTATAAAAAATAGTTTATTTTTAAAATTTATTCCATATCATCGGAATATCTCTGTAAATACATTCATTAAAAATACGGTAAAGGGAAATTTTTACGTTTTCAATGAAATTTACTCTCTGAGTAATTTTTTAATTATCATATTGTCACCTAATTAGGTATTTTTAATAAGATCAGAATACAAATAATTTAAATAATACAGCTAATGAAACGCTTTCAACTCAAAATGTCATTATGATTAATAACATAGTTTCTTGACAGAATGTAATTGATGTCAGAATGTTAAATTTTCTCTGTTATCGATCTAATAAATTTTAATTTAATTTTGAATAATGTGCTCTTTTGTAATCGTATTAGATTTTTTCATTTTTATAGAGCTACCACAGTGTGATATACTATCCAGGGAAGATTTTTTTGACAAATTCTCATACTTTCTTGTAGTAAAGGATTCATGATTTTTAACTAAATTTCTAACAATGACATATATTTATATCCATACGAATATCATACAAAATGTATGTACATAATTATGTATATCGAAATCTTTTGGATAGAATTTTATATGAGCAATAAAGCATACTATAAAGACGTTATGGCAAACTACATTTGATATATAATGTAACCTTAAAGTTATATACGTTATGTACATTCATCTTTATTTCATCTTCATAACATTGCATAGTGTAAATAAATTTACTTATAAATTAATATTAAGCATACCACACAACATATTTTACTATCTATATTATACATTATTTAACATCTGTGATCTATCTTATATATGTAAGTATATACAATTAATTTTAAGGTCTTACAGAATGCTCTTCATTTATATACATATGTACGCTTGAAAATCTTTATTGAGAAACGCTGTGTATTCAAAAAAGTTTGTAGCTATTATGTTATATTCTTGTTGTACGTATATCATATATTAATACGTACATATGTAAATGTATGCAGGTTTGTATAAGAAAAACAAACTTTGCTGCTCTTTATTTTGTTTTCTTAATATTTAATATTGAAATTTACAAGTTATAGTTAGTTAAGATATCAAATAATAACGTCACACTACGTGTATTGTTGTTCTACATAAATATCCCCATCAATATGTATTTTACTTATTATAAAGATTATAAGTATATAATTTTTTTTTCCATTTTCTTACTTTATTTCTTTTTTTTTTTTCGTACTTTAAGAGCTTTTTTTATTTTTTAATTTTTTCATTTTATTTAGATTTTTCTTCTTATTCTTCTGATTACTATTGTTATTATTATAGTTTTTGTATTATCTTATACTTTTTGCGTTCCATTTAGGAGTATGTATAACAACTAATAATACATGATTATAACATTCTCAGTATATAACACTTCAGATATATATAACAGTCTTCCTTGGCTAGAAATGTACAAGGTTTATAGCGGTTGAAGACTCATAAACTCCACGAGGAATAACACCACAAGCACATGAAACTTTACATGTATAACACTTCACGAGAATAAGACATTTTATAAGTGTTATTAGTTTATTGGTATACAAAACAAATTTAATACTTCAGATTCGTAAAATACAAATAAACTTTAAACGCGCAGCATTTTAGTTGCCTAGCCCTTTAAGCGTACAACAATAAAAGCAAGGTAAAGCTTCAATTATCTATAACACTCTAATAGTAAGAGCTGCAAATGTATAACATTTTAAATGAATGCGAATTCTCTATTAAACTTGAGATACATTACATTAGCCTATATAGAAAAATACTGTAATTGAGAAAAGTTTGTTGCAGTAGATCGCTTTATTAAGTAGTAGATACATAAAAATAGACTCTTGAGTCAAACCCTCAAACTTAAATTTATAGGTTAGTTTTAAAACTGGGATTCATATACAAAACATAGTTCCATTCATAAAACTATTCCCAACTGCTAGATTGTTATATGTATTTAAATGGAACCTTAGTCTAGTTGTATACATATTTATTTGTATATACATACCATTCAAATGGATACCCTAGTCCACGAAAAAAAGTGACATGAAATAGAATATCATAGTACAATATACTAATTATAAACTAAATAGTACAATATTGAGGCTACAATATTAGCTCAAAAGAAATGATATGACTAGTATTATATGAGCTCTCTTATCATATCGTAAATATAAAATATAAACTTATTTAACTCAAGTAAAATAGTATATTATTCTATAATTTAATATAATACGCGAGTAGCTATATATAAAATATAGAGTATTGAGCGTGTATTTAAAAAAAATTTATAATTATGTGTTTATGTGTATAAATATGTATAGAGTAAAGTGATCGTATCATTATTCTTGGTCAATTTGTATAACTTTATTGAATTATCACCCATTCATTGTTATTGAAAAGTATTATGTATATAGTAAATAAAATAATTTTCAGTTGCAAATTTACCTTTATAGAGGCAGCACATTATTAAGAAATTTGATTATAGTGTATAAAAGAAATTTTGTAGATTATTATTCGTACTATTTGTATTGTGTATTGTTTTCATAATTATTTTTCTTGTGTTTTTGGAATTCTTTATATTATACTCGAAATTATTTTTTTTATATTCTATGATAGTGTCGGTTCTTACTAATTAATATAATATATACGTATGTGTTTATTATTATTTAAGAAGAAATTAAAGGAAATGTTTTATTATCGAAAATTATAACAGTATTTACACGGAAAACACCATTCGAAATAATAACAGTTTAAATTTTTTCATTTGTTCTTTTCAAAAATTTTAATTTAAATATTATACATGTGTGTATGAATGTAATAAAATAATAATTTAAAATGTGATCCATTTATTTTATTTAATTATAAAAATAAATTAGTATAAATTGTATTTTATATATGAATAATAAAGAAAATTTAATAGAAAAAAGAAAAGTATAAGAAAAATTAATATTAAAATTATATAATTTAATTGAAAGAAACGAAAAAAAAAAAATATGGGATCACCAAATATTGTTGAATTAGAAACACAGTGCTTAAATTCAATTAATAATGAAACGAAAAAAATACATAATAATATGATTGTTATACATAATGTAAGAAAATCTCGTAAAGCAAAAGCTAAAAGATGGATTAAAAATAGATTTCATATATTAAATTGGATAGAAGATTATAATTTACATTTTGCATTTAATGATTTAATTGCCGGATTAACATTAGGCTTAACAATAATACCAGAAAGTATTGCATGTGCAAGATTAGCTGGTTTACCATCACATCATGGATTATACTCATCATTTATAGGTATCATATACAAATAAAAAATATTAGATTTTTCAACATAATTTTGCTTTAAAACTGAAAAAAATAGAAAAAGAAAAATTAAAAATTTCCATGTAATTTTTATTTTAATTGATTAATCAATCCCTATTTTAGTTATATGACTATATGTTTTTGTTGGCCTTTTCGAAAGATTCAGTTATGAAAAACTTTTCTACAATCATCCCTTCGAAGCACATTTTCAATATAATTGTCTTAAAACAAGAGATTCCATGTATTTTCTTAAAACAAATTAATTTGACGGCACGTTATTAAAAGATCAAAAAATTCATTGTCAAAAATAATTGCTCATCGAACGCATTCTTAACCAATTTTTATAAAACAGTAAATTAAACTGGGTCGATTTCAGTTTGCAATGCGAGAAGTGTTCAGAAAATTAAAACATGAAAAATCAACCAATGAAAAGCTCACCCTAAGCTGCATTACTATTGAATTAAGTATGAAATTAGTAAAACGATATGAGCATTCTACTTAATAAATTCATTTTTAAAAGCGCGTTTCTATATTATATTTTCTTTTGTGTAATTTTATTATATTTAAAGATAGATGAAATTTCTAAGATATACTTAAATAATATAATTATTGTAAATATGTGCATTTTTTACGATGACATTAATAATATGAAATATTTTAAGGTTAATTTGCAAGGAAGAATGAAATTTAAATATTTAAATTTTTATTTTATAAAAAAATATTTTTTATTTTTAAAAAAATTTTAGTTAAGAGTTTAAAATTTCCATTATAGCTTTGATATATTTCATTAAACTCGATGTTTTTATGTCCAAAAATTTTATTTCTGAAATTTTCCATAATGTAAATTTATATTTAAGCTGAATTCGACAATTGAGGCAAATTAAAATTTAAAAAATATGAAAAGTATTTAAATTCTGCAAGATTGTACATTTATATTAAAATTGACGTCAAAATTTCCAAAAAAGACTTTAGTTTTCGGGAATGAAACAAAAAAAATTTAGAATATTATTCATGATACCCCATTGTTGCTATGTATTAAATTATTAATAAAAGAATAATATCATTTTTTAAAATCATTGTGACTAATATATACAACCAATACACGTTTTGAAATTATCAATTGATTACTTAAATTGTGTCATATATTTCTAATTATGCTTAATTATACCCTAAAAATAGCCGCAATTTTAACTGGATAAATCTAATTTGGATTTAATTCTAATTGAATTTAATTAACTAGAAGTAATTAGTCTAATAAAGATATAAAATTCTATTTTCAATTCAAATAAATTTCCTATATAATAAAAATATTCTAAAATAAAATTTTATTTTTTCTTATTTTTACTTTCAAAATATTTTCAACCCAAATAATACCTGACATTTTAATATAATAAAAATTTATTAATTAAGATTAAAATTTTAAAGTTATATATACAAAAATTTATATTATATTACCTCGTAATTATACTATTATATCTTTTAATGTGAATTGGTGTCCCTACAATATATTTCAGTTAATAAATATTACTAATTAATTACCAATAAAATATTGAAATTTGAGAAATATAAAGTTTACTAATACCAATTATTATATTTTAATTAACTCGTTATCATATTATAATTACTTTATGAAATTTATTTTGAAAATTGGAATCCCTAACTATTTTATATTTAAAAGTAATTTGGGAAACTAAAGAATTTAAAAATAAACTTTAAATATTTCTATATGCACGTGTTTTAATTTCATTATTACTATAGAGTCTCATATAATCGGAATTTTCATGCTTTTATATAGTTTTGAGGTTTTCCAGAAATACGGGAAATAGTAATCAATAAAGTAAATAATTATTGTTATCAAGTTATAAATTGTCTATATGATTGATAATAATATAAATAAATGATTGAAGTGTATGTAGTAGGGTAATGCTCTCGAAAATAATTCTTATAAACTAATTAATTAACTATATATGAGTTATTAAATTATTAATTCTAATACATATACTTAAAATTTTATTATAGTGTTATCAGAACATTTTACGGTTAAAAAAATTATTTATTTTTTGATGAATTTACTCTTTTTTCCCAATGAGAGTCAATGAAGGTTTTTAATCGTATTTCACTTGCGTTTTAACGTTTAAAGAAAAGAATGAGAAAAATGACGTGTTCTTTCTATTCTTAGATATATAGAACGAAATTTTAGCTAATTAATTGCAAATTCTAACATCTTAAGTAGTATGAAATGAAATTTTAAATAATATATCTCATTTTTAGTACAATTGTTAACATTTAAAATTAATAATAATGAAATTCTTATATTATAAAACAAAACTTTAAAACATTTGAAATTTTCAAGGAATTCAAGGTTTTTTTGCTTTTTTCTGGGTAAGCAAAATATAAAAATATTTTTAGTCAGGTCAATCTTTTAATGACTTTTAAATTTCTTATCACTCTAATCGGTTCTTGTTAAAATATAAAATTTTTGACCATTATTAAAATCATTGTATGCTGTCTTATGTGATATAGTTCTTGTATGTAATTCCCAAAATTTATTTTTTCTTTCTATTGTTTATTTTGATTCTATTGGTATTTAATATTTTGATTTTGAAAGTGTAATAAAAAAATATTCTTAGTTTAAAAGCAACGAACCAATGGCTCCACCTTAACAACATTTTTTCCTTATAAATCTTAAAATATTTTAGGTACTGTTTAGGATTAAATCTTTAAAATTTAGTATTAAATCTACGATAAAATTTAATAATTTGATACGAAAATTATAAGTAAAATAAAAATCAGTTGATGACTACTCAAAATAATTTGAAATATAATAATTGTCGCCATTTTGCTTTTATAACATCTGATAAAATTTGATTTCAAACAAGGGTTACAATATACGACTTTAATAAGATTCAGATTATATCTTAGATTTTGTCATGTATTTACATGAACAGTAATATTTGTATGATTTCATTATATTGAAAAAGAATGAGAGAAACTTAATTGACAAAATCAGATATCTTATTTAAATAAAGTAAGGTAAAAACCAATGAAATATAAAGTATCACTTTTCCTTTCAACAAGTGAGAATATTCCTTCTAATGACAGTCTATTATATTATTCCAATTACTTTTGTTCATATAACAAAATATATTTATTTATTGCATATATTTAGGGATGAGAAAAAAAAATTGAAAAAGTTATTGGCATAAGGGTGGAGTTGAAGGGTTTGAATTAAATTAAGCATAAATTATGAAAAACAATTATATGTATCTTTTCATGACACGTCATTTACCATCAGCTTTCTAAATTTATAGATATTTGGAAAAGTTTGCAGTTTCGCAAATACAAAGTCCAGAAAATTCAAACTGCACGAATTTCGAGCGGCGATAACTTGAGAAAGAATGGAGGTAGAAATAAATCTTCTTCTAATAAAATAAACTATTTCTAAATATCTAAAGGCTGTTAAAATTTTAAGCCCTTACAACTTACAGTTTAGAAGAACTTTGGAGAATTTGAAAATTTTTGTGGTTTCGTTTCAATGAATAATCAAAAAATGGCATTTTTGAGATTTTGAGCGGGTACAACTTTTAGAGGGTAATTCTACGGAACTAGAACTTATTTCTGCGGAAATAAGTTTCCAGTGCAGGCTTATGCATACATAAAATTTCAGCTCTGACTATGGACGGACAGAGTAAGACTAATGAACACTTTTTTTGCAAATTGGAATGTTTGGAAAAGGTTTAAAAATGAGAAATCTAATTGAGTAAATGAAAAATCTAATTGAGAAAGTACAAAGAAAAATAAAAATTCCTCTAATTCAATATTTTATCTTTCCCGACTCAGTCGGTTTCTAAAACAATTTAGATACAGAATAGAGAGTATGTTTAGAAAAAGAGTATGTTTCGTTTTTGTTTAGAAAAATTTTGAATTTCTATAGAGTTTTTTAATTAAAAAAATTTTATGAATGTTATTCAATTTATAGTATAAAAAGAGATTTTAAATTGTGTTCCTTTCATATATTTAAGGAGTACCCCAAAATAAAATATTTATGTGCACATTTTTATGTATATAAATTTTTATTTATTTTATTTTATTTGTGTAAATCGTATGTGCATGAACCATGACAATTTCCCAAAATGTTTAATTACCAAAAAACAAAGAAAATATTTTCTATTTTGTTCTTTTAAAATTTTTTTTTTTATTTTAATATTTCAAATAGCTGAGAACTGGTTTTTAAAGGTATTTCAGGTATTTTGTATATTATTTAAAAAATATTTAATTGAAATTTTTTTTTGTTATATGGAAACGTGCGAGAGTATATATATATATATATATATATATACTTTTGTAAAATATAAAGTAATAATAAAGTTGAATAACGAAAGGGAAAAATTGTGTTTTTTGTTTTTGGTTTTATTCTTTATGATAATTTATACACCTATACTACCACCTATATACCTATTTCACCTTTATTTCGTCATTGTTAATTAATTGTTTATATATATATATATATATATACACTTACTTTTTCTTTTGAATTTCAAATGAAATGCTTTTTAATTTAATATTAATTGAATAATAAATTTTAATAATGTTTTTATTTATATGATTTTTTTTTACGTTTTATTTTGATTTTTTTTTTAGTAAATCTCCCTTTTATTTATTTGTATATTAATTTTGTTTACAGGTTCTTTTGTATATTTAATATTTGGAACAGTAGCTAAAGTCCTAATTGGTCCTACTAGTCTTGTTGGTAAGTAAATTCTTATATTATGTCGTATATATACAAGTATATTTAGAGTTTAAATATTTATTTGTATAAAAATATATCATAATAATTTTGTATAATTATGACGTACATATACATATATATACGCATATATTTTCAGTATATATATGGTATTTACATGCATGTATGTATATAATTTTTATTATGACTTTCAACTCTTATGAAATATTTTGAGCTTATTTTACTCTAATTTTATTTTCTGTGTGATATTTTATTTTTTCTTTTTTTTTTCTGTGTAATTTTATATAGCACTCGTAACCGTACAATTCACTATGGGAAAACCAATACAATTTGCTTTTATTTTAACATTTTTGGCTGGTGTTGTTGAATTGCTTATGGGCTTATTACGACTAGGTGAGTTAAAGAAATTTTTAAAGGAAATTTTTTGTTATAAAAAAAAAAAATAAAAATAAAATATAAAAATTGCTGAAAAAAAACCAACAAAATATAAAGATATTTTTTTCCTTTCTGAGAAAAAAAAAAATACGTACGTATAAAATATTATGAGGGAGAAAAAAAAAAAATTTACTTTTAAGAAATGAAATTTATGCTTTCAAGAAATAAAAATTAATTTTCGTGAAAATGAAAAAAAAAAAAAGAAGGAAAAACTCTTTGAGGAAAACCTCACCAGAAAATAAAGATGTTTTTTTCTTTTAATGTTAAAATAGATAAAAATTTTAATATGTAGAAGAAACGTGCTCTTATTAGGCAATTTACTCTTAAACAAACGACCATATACTTATATGAAATGGTGTTCTGTTAAGAACAAATTATAAACAATCGATTTTTTACCATAAAAGTAATTTAATGGTATTTTTAATTTCAACGTCAATCAAATATTGAATTTCTAATTTCCATGTCATTTTGTTTTGGAAAAATTATTAAAAAGAGTTCCCTTATTACCATTTATTTGACAGTATCTTTAAATGAATTTGAAATTTACAATTTACAATCAGGTTTTAAAAAACTGTAATTATTTTTACTATTGAAATATAAATGTAAAAATAGTTTTGAAATTAAAAAAAAAATATTTGTAGAAATTAATTAATTTTAATATCACGTGAATTTATTTCTATTTAATTATAATATAATTTTCCTTCTAATTTAAAATTCCTAAAATTTATAAATTATTCAAAATTAATGTGAAAAATTTTCTGTCTCTGAATTGCAAAATAATTTTGAAATGGTTACATTTTATTGTTACAATTTATGAATTTTAAAAATTATTTTGTTTACATCCTTTGTTTTTTACTTAAAACAAAAAATTCGAATGGGATCATTTATTAAATTTAAATTTAAATCATATGACTTCTATTTACCTCATACTTTATAATTGACCATTTTCGGTATTGTTTTACAAACCCATATTGTACCAAACAAATTAATCAACTATTTAGAAAATGTAGTGCTTGAAAAGTTTTAAACAATTTTCATTTAAAGTTTGCTATAATACTTCTATACAGGCCTTTGTAGTACGTAAATCAACTGCAGTTTATTTACACAAGCTCTGGTATTACAATTTTCGACAATTTGCTTGATTCGGATTCTACATTTTAATATTATAACAACAGGGTTCCAACTTCTTACAAGAAAACATGCTTCTCAGCAATATTATAAATTCAAAAATGCTATAAAAATTTTCTCTTAATATTTCGATTTACAATAAATTTAAAGGCAAATTACAAATTAATTTTCTATTCATTGTCTAATCATTTTCAGATATTTTAAAATATCGTTATACACAACGACTTTGTATATAGACCTACCCGGAATTTGATAATCAAAAATCAAAAAAATTGACAATATTTGAATTGAAAACGTTAAAAGATATGTAATTTTCTTGTTTGTTTTCAAAAATGATAACAAATTTTTATGTCGTTTTCCTCATAAAATTTATCTTATTTTTTTTTTCATTTCATTTTGCTGAAGAACGGAAACCAGAAGTCATTTATTAAAAAAAAATTGTAAAAAAAATCTGAAGTAGCTTGGTTTTTTCTTGTTTTGTTTTCATGTTGTTCTTCTTTTATTATATTATTATTACAAATTGAATAATTTAAAAAAAAAATGGAAATTTTTATCATTAAAATTCTTTTTTTAATTTACCTTACGCGTGCCGCGTTCCGCACCTATCATTTAACGACGTTTAAAAATATGTGATTTCAATATCAGCATTGTAGTAAATTGTATAACTAACGATAACAACAATAATAACATAATAATAATAATAATCGCTGATAATATTTTTATTACTCAATATAAAAGAAAAAAAAAACAAGAAAAAAAAGCAACAAACAGAGAAACGCGATGAATGAAATTAAAATGATTCTACGAAATAAATGAATGAATGGAGAAAAATAAGTGAAATTGTTGCAGAAATTTTTTAGTAAAAAGAAAAAACGCTATAACAATGATGTTGCCAGACATTTTAATTTACATACTATAATGCGATTCTGATGCGAAATTATTATTTTTTGATTTCTTAAATTAGTTTAAGAAGAAATATATTTTAAGTTCTAGTAGTTTTTATTGCAAACTCATTGATTCTCTAATTTAAGAGTATGTGTTGTGATATGTAGAGCTAATAGGCAATTTTTCTTCATAATATGTATAAAACACAATTTAAACAAAGTTTGCAATCAAAGAGAAAATTCTTTTTTTTTCACTTCTCCTTTCGCCCGTTCTTTTGTCTGTTTACAAGGCACAAGCACGGACACAAGTGTGTAGAAGTACTTTGAGCTAGAAAGCTGAATTTTATACAGAAACGTCTCTTGAGTTACAACTTATTTTTGAGGAAGAAAATTTTTACCTATATTCTCGGCTCTAGAAGTTATAGCCCCTAAAGTTCTGAAAATGGCGTATTTTAATTATTTGTTGAAACGAATTCATTTTAATTTTTTGTATTCCGGAGACGAAGAAAGGTTATTGCTTCTTCTACCGTGCGTGACTCTAGCTTTGAAGAGACAAAATGGCCGTTAAAATTAACTGTTATCTAAAACATTTTTTTTTTAATTTTCTATATCGTTTTTCTTCTAGACTACAACTTGTGGAAAGCTGAAATTTTCTCAACTTACAGATACTAACAAATAGTTTATTTTGTTAGAAGAACGCTTCTTTCAGTTTTTTGGTTTTGTTAATCCTAAATATATAATTTAAGCATGAACCAATTTCACAAAATAAGTTATGATTAATTGCTGTATTTGTAAGATTGAAGACTGTAATGCACTTAATTATTTTTAATTACAGTTTTATTAAAAAATAAAATAAAACCTGTGTTCCGAAATTTTCTTAGACATTAATTTAAAATAATTATTGCATTTTTAAACATAAAATACCTTCTAAGTAATTTGGAAATTGAAACGAAAACCAAAAATTTATATTATTTTTAAGTCACTTAAATTTTCATAACCACAAAACCGCATTAATTTTTTTTTAGATTTTCATCATTTCCATTCATTTATCAGTAACATAATAGGAAAGTTTTTTTTATTCAAATTAAAATGTCTAAAATTTCTGGTTGGTAATGACGTAATTTGATGTATAATGAATATTATATTAAAATATTTTATATATATGTATATATATTGATATTTATTATACATTCATCGTACATGCACATATTCATTTCATAAAATATTTTTCCATAAAATAAAACGAAAAATTTTTAATCTGGCAATATTGTTTTCAACCTACGCTTTAATATTCTCTTTATACTCTTAATTAATTAATTAGTAATCAGTGTTTGTTAAAATAAGAGTTTAAAACGAAATTAAATAAAAATTAAAAACAAAACAATTATAATTGATCGTGTAATTTATACGAGTATTTTCGTCATTCGCACAAGCTTTGTGAATTTGTGCGAATTTAAAGTAGCAAAAAACAAAAAAACTAGTCAATTAATGCATGACGGACTAGTTGTATAGCAACTTTTTTAACGCTTATTAAAATTCTTTTAAAAAGCGTTGTGCTATTGCATCTAACACTTAATTTTGTTTAAATGATGCTCAAATGGAATTGACTTATATTATTAAAAGTAGTGTCATGAAAATATGCTTTTAAATATTGAACTGAAAAATTAGATGACAGGTGGCCAAATTATTTCTAACATGAGACTTAATCTAACATCATAAAATTTCGATACAAACATTTTGTTGTAATTGATACAAATAACATTTTGTTGTAATTGATACAAATGCTTTTCAAAATTTTAGAATTCTATGCCATAAATTTGGAAAAAATTAGTTCTTTCCATTGTAGGAAAATCTATAAAAATCTTATTAATACTTAATGGTATATGGATAACTTAAGTATATTGTTTCTTACTTATTCGGAAAAAGTCGGGATAGTAGTCAATTAGTTTTATTACTGAGTAATTGCAAAGTTCTGGAACTTCAAATTCAAAATGAAATGTAATCAAAGTTATCCTTAAGAATCGAAAATACCGAATTTTATTGTATATTAATTTCCCAACGGATTATTTTCAGACGTTTTTATAACTTTAGAAGAGTCCGAAGCTTAATCATCAAAATTTCTTAATTTGTTTTTAACTAATTTTACATTTGAAATCAATCAGTTTGTCAAGGCTCTGAAATGCAAAATTTATTGAATTTTTACATTTTTACATCAACTTTTCCAACAATTAAAACATAATTCCATTATTTATTTAAATGAACTTCAATCAAATTTGCAAAATGTCTGAATTTTAATTTTTATAAATATATTTTCAATAATTTTTCATATTTAGGTTTCATTTTTGAGTTCATTTCAATGCCAGTTATTAAAGCATTTTCAACAGCAACAGCAGTTTTAGTTATTGAATCGCAAATTAAGGTTATTCTCGGAATCAAATATTTAGTTCCAGGATTTGTAAATTCTATACAAAATTTAATTTATAAACTTGAAGAAGCAAGAGCTGGTGATGCTGTAATGGGAACATGTTCTCTAGTTTTTTTAATATTGTTAAAGGTTTAAAATTTATACAAATTCACTGTTCAGTTAATCTAAAATTTAAATTTTATAGCAACTTGATCGAATACATTTTGATGAAATGAAACCATCTGGTCGTTATTTAAATGTAATTGTTAATTATATAAGTTTATCGAAAAATGGTTTTCTTGTTATTATTTGTGCTGTTGCCTCATATATATGGGTTTCAAATTCACCTGAAAATGAAGAACCGCCATTTAGATTGAGTACAGATGTTGTTCCAGGAATGCCAAATTTCTCATTTCCATCATTTACTGTAGAAGCCAATAATAGAACTTATACATTTTTGGATATTTGTAGTGAACTTGGAATGGGAATATTTGTGATACCATTTGTTTCATTATTAACAAACATTTCAATTGCAAAAGCTCTAAGTAAGTATATAATTCTTGTTATTATTTGAAAAGTTATTTATATTTATAAAAATTGTAATAATTAATTAATTTAATAATATTATGAATGATTCCATAATATTAATAATGAAATAATCTTATCAATTCTTTATTTTTTTTTTCAAAAGCACCAAAGGGTTTAGTTAACGCTAGTCAAGAATTATTTACATTGGGATTATGCAATATAATGGGATCAGGAGTTCAGTCGATGCCAACATGTGGTGCATTTTCAAGAGCAGCCATAAGTCAAACGAGTGGTATTAAAACTTCAATAGCTGGAATTTATTCAAGTAAGAGAATTTTTATTTTATAAATAAAAATTTTTGGAAATATAAAAGTGCAAATAATTTGCTCTCCTATTTTAAATTTTAGGTTTCGTTGTAATTTTTGCCATGAGTCTTTTAACACCATATTTTACATATATCCCAGAGAGTACATTAGCTGCTATTTTAATGGTTGCTATTGTTACATTAATTGATTTTAAAATACCGATAAGATTATGGCGTGAAAGTAAACGAGATTTTTTTACATGGCTATTATGTTTTTCAGCATGTGTAGTATTTGGAGTTGAAGTTGGTCTATTTTTTGGAATTGCAGTTACAGCAGCATATCTTTTATATTTATGGGCTAGACCTAAAATAAGAGTTAAAATTGGAGAGGTATTGCGTATTAAAAAATTTTACACTTATTTTCTATGTGCCTTATATACAAATATTTCGTACTTTTATACATATTTCAGATTAATGGCATGCAATATGTTCATGTAACTCCAAATCATGGAATGTATTTCCCAGGAATTGATCATTTAAGGGAAAGAACATTGAAAGCTTGTATAGAAGCGAAATTTCGTATTCCAGTTGTTATAGATTGTCATAATATAACAGGTTTAGATTATACAGCAGCTCAGGGTATATCAAAATTAGCTGTTGAATTAGAAGATGAAAATCGATCACAAGCATTAGTTTTATTCAAATTAAATGTAAAATTTCAAAAATTAATTGATAATCTCAATAATTTAGTATTCTGTGAGACTGAAGAAAAATTAAAGGAAATTTTAACACAAGAAAGTCTTCGAAATGGTTTTATATCACTAAAGGATCATGTTAGAGCATCTATTGATTTAGGTTATAAACTAAATACATTAGAAGAGATCACAGATGAATAATTTATATATATATATATGTGTAGTATTATTATTGTTATATTTTTAATTGTTTATACATTAACACATTATACCTATCCAAAAAATTTGTTATAATTATAATTTTTATTTATTGAAAATTTTGTTAAATAAACAAAATTTTGCTTGTATTTAAGTAACTGATTTTATATTAAGAAATTTCTTAAAAACTTTTAGAAATACACGCATGTTAGTTTCACTCTGGCTTTTTAAAAAAAACTCCAACATATTATGTGGAAATAGAAGAAGATAGAAAAAATAATCTTAGGGAATATATTATTTCTCAACAACAAAAGACAACAACAAATCCCTATTTTCCTCTAAGTTATAGCTTTCGAAAATCTGAGTTCAAATAAAATTTTTAGTCGGGGAAAAAGGAAAACTTATTTCTTCTATCACAGAAAACTATAAGCAAATGTCAGTTTACAGAATTGAACTTTCAAATTAACTGTAATTAAATTTGTTTTCTTGTTAATTTTCTATAATTTGTTTGTTAAACACGTCTACCATTTGAATTGGTTTTAAATGTTACCATTTTAAAAAAAATTTATTACATCAAAATTTTTTTATAATTGCCTCCTTTCCCTTCCGAGTTTAAAATTTTTTAAAATTTTCAAAATCTTAACATTTCGTTCCCTATTCCTTCGATACTAAGAACTTCAATTAAATTCTAAAAACAAATCTATCTAAAAAGTATGCCGTCAAACTTCAAACTTAATTAATCATCAACCAAAAATTTTTCTTCAGGCCAGTAGCTGTTGTGAAATCATCACTTTGAGGTTTATCCTATAAATATATTAAAAATTTTAAAGGTAATAAGCAAATTCAACAGAAATTATATAAGATTTCCAACCATTCTAAAAATTAAAGTTCCAATTCTAGACTTGATATGTAACAGGAAATTACTAGTGTGGCTGCTATTACCATTTTTCAAACCAAGAGTTTCATTGACTAATTTTTTCCATACATTATTTAACTTAATCAAATTTCCAATGTTCATAAAGGATACCAGGAAAAATTTAGCGGCTAATATTTAAAAATTATTTTTTAAATGAATCGGTTATGGCATGTTTTACGAGTACTCAACTAAAATTTTATTTAAATTTTTTATTTTTTTTTTATTTAAAAATCACTTTATTTATTTCTCTGATACTTTTCCCGAGGACATTTTAAAATAAAATATAACAAAAAAACGTGTTAGATCAAAGGATATTATTATTCAAAAGTATTGAAGCATTCACTTTAAAAAGAAGAATCATAAAAAAAACCCAAAAACAAAAAAAAAAAGTTACAAAATTTAATAATCTTTTTTAAATTAAATTTTATATTCGAAAAGAATGAAAAAAACATTTCAAAACCTTATTATGGAAATAATTCTCACCCTTAGTAATAAAAGTTGTTCTTTAAAATCTGTTTCAGCAAATGTTATTGTTGCAGCACATGATATATTCGATGATTCCAGTTCGGTGACCAAATCATTTACTGCCAATGAATGTACTTCTTCATTTTGTGAAAATGTCGTAACTGTATCCCAACCAAATTTTCGTATAAAAGCAATACGAGCAGGATTATGTGATGAATCTGGTGCTACAGTTCTATAGAAAAATGGAAATTCATGACGATCACTTAATGCTGGTGATGTTGATCCAAATGATACCTAAAATTATTGTAAAATAATTAAAAAATTTTGTGTGATTTATTATTAAAGTGGGAAAAGAATAAGATAATCTTTATAATATGAAATTTATAAGGAAAAATGAAATCAATTGACATTAAACCACAATTTAGAGTATATAAAAAGTGAAAGGGTAAAGTTGTGTATTGCAGTGATGATAATGGTATTACGAAACCCATAATTTCCCAATAAATTTTGTAATTAAATTTTGGTCCTACTTTTTGAAATATTCATGAGAGAGCGCTTGAGAGCGTTTTTTCTCTAACACATTTAAATAAATTTGCCATAATTCCGAAAAATTAAGTTGAAAATTAAAAGCTATTGTTGTTTTCAATAGATGATTCTATCAAAATTTATATAACTAAGGCAATGATTGTGAAAATAATAAAGTTGGGTCAAACCAATGGTTTGTATTGTAGCACTTTTCCCTTCAACAAGTGAAAATTCTGCTTTTAAATACAGTCTATGTATACTCGTACCTATCACATTATTAAAATTGTTTTCATTCATATACAAAACTCTTTCTAGGATTGCATATTTTTAAGATGATGCATACATGCAGTCTTTGAAATAAAGCAAAAATTAATATAAAAAGGGGTTAACATAATGCTCGATTTTAAGGGTTAATTGTGTGAGTTAAGGAAAATAATTATATTTTTTAATGTCATGGAATTTACCGTTAGCTTTTTGCGTTTATAGAAATTTGAAAAAACGTGCGATTTCGGAAATATAAGGTGTCAAAAATTCAAATTTTACAAATTTCAAGGGGCGATTACTTGAGAGGGGGTGGAGATGGAAAAAAATTTTCTTCTAACGAAATGAACTATTTGCTAATGTCTAAAAGTCCCTAAAATTTCAAACTTCTACAAGCTGGGGTCTAGAAGAAAAACGACATCAAAAATTTGGAAAAAAAGGACTTTAGATAACGGTAAATTTGAACGGCCATTTTGTTTTTCTAAAGTTTAACTGTAGTATACCGCGCTAGGGAAAGCAAGCCGTTGCCTTTCTGCGTTTGCAAAATTTCAAAAATGCTTATGGTTTCATTGCAACAAATAGTTAAAAAAGGCCATTTTTAAGGTTTTGGGGGGGTATAACTTCTAGAGGGGGGGAGATAGGTAAAAATTTTGTTCTACGGAAGTAAGTTTCTAGTAAAGATCTATGTACATATAAAATTTCAGCTATCTATCTTCAAGGGTGTAGAAGTTTTGTAAACAAAAAAAGTGTCCACGGACGGACGGGACGGACAGAGTGAAACTAATAAGCACTTTTTTCAAAAATTTTTTTGGAAAAGTGCTAAAAAGTAGCTCCTTCGAATTAAGATAGGCACTAAACTATTTATAAACTAATATATAAAATCAACATTTTCTAGCAAATTAAAAAATCAATTTGAATTTATTACAAAACTAGCTACTAATGCATAAACTAAAAATTCTATTCGAAATTATACACTCGTATAAGATTTAATTTAATTTCGAAAAACATCATAAAAAACAAAAGCCTTACATATACGAGTATATAGTTAACTAACACTATCTATGTATTTATGTATACGAGGAGGCCAAAGTTTGATTGATGATTCACTTTCTATTTCTTGCTTTCTATTTTTTTTTTCCTTCAAACCAATTTTAACTTTCATATTATTCAAATTAACTTCATTTATAAATCTAATAAAGCGATAAAATTTAATTTAATGTTCATTACTAGCGTAAGAAAATCAAAATAGGCAAAAAATTTTTTTTTTAAATTTTATATACAAAGATAGAAACTGATCTAAATTAATTTAGCGGGAGGTTCCATCATCTTAATCAAATTTAGTTTTTTTTTTCTTTTTTTTATGTGACTGTAGAATTTCATGAAGCGCAACAACAAATTCGCCTTTTAAATGTCTTTATTAATCAATTTATTTATTTTATTTACTGTCGTTGTTGTTTTGTTTTTCAGTTTTCTAAAAAAAAAATTTAAGATTTGTATAACCGAATAGAATTATATTTGATGTATATATATGCACATACACATACATATATTATTGTGTTTGTAAGTATTAATGGGTAAAAATTTCTTTTAAATTTTATTCAGGGTTAAAATTAGTTCTAGTTATATTACAATATTTGGTCATAGAACAAAAGTAACACTATAAGCTTTAAGATTCAAATATGGTTGAAAATTATTATGTTTGAATTAAAAGTGTAACCATGTACATAACAATTAGATTTAATTTCAGCTTTACAATTCAAACGAGCATATAGAGTAGCATAACATTTCTGTATTAAATAATTTGTTATACAAATATTATTTTCGAACATCTTTGATTATAACATTTGCTCGGTTAACGAAATTAAGAGAGAAAATTCTAAATTATGTAGTAATTAAAAATATGATCAGGCTCAAGAGTTAGCGTTCGTAAAAGCATTTGTTGATATTTATATCGAGCCTAGTAAATTTTTGATTTCACATGTACTGTCCTAAAGAAATTATTTTGTTAGTCGTAATCGCCATATTTAACTTATTCCCCAGTTTCAAAATGCTAATGTATAAGTAATACATGACTGAAGAAATCATAAAATAAGTTGTTAATAGTTTGCCAGTTTTGTTCCAATGTGAGCTTTTAATGAACTGTAAACTTCATATATTAACTGCAAATAACATTTTCGATCTGCTGTCAAAGTCCTTGTCACAAATATTTTTTTATTGCTTGTTGGTTAAAATAGTGAACTTGCCTACTAATGTTGGTTTTGATTGATAAATATTTTTTTTTATTGCATTTTTCACACTCATCATGACTATAAATTCAGCTAGAAATTTTTTAAAGTTCTTCTGAGTATCGGTTTTCAACCTCGTAAGACTAAAATGCAATAATACTGCATTTTGTTAATTTTCTTGCGACTTTTGCTGTAACCTTTTTGAAAGATTGCATGAAGGTGGTCGCTCGAATCTTACCAAGAATATATGATGGCCAGATCATATAATAAATTATCTTTTATTGTACACCATTAAACCTTCTTATAAAAGAAAATAGACATTATAAACTTAACAAGGAATTTAATAATATAATTTTAATTTTTACAAAATTTCAAAAATTATTTTTTCTCTTTTTTCTCTACTTTTGTTTATGTCACAAAATGAAAATAGAAAATGAAATGAAAAAAACAGTTTCTTCTTCTTTTTGTTTGTTTTATTGTTCTTTGGGATCGCAAAAATTGATGTGAGAATTTTCGCAAATAGAAAAGTTGAAATTTTATTATGATTCATGACTTTTGAGGCGCTTGTGGAAGAACTTTTTTGTGACAAAACAAAAACCTCCTAAAATATTTTATTCATTTTATATGGAATGTACAACAAAATAAAAAAAAAGTTCATAATTTAAGGAATAAATTTTTAAAGAGGAAAACAAACATAAATGAAAAATTTCTAAAAGAAAAAACCAAATGTTCAAAAAAAATGGGTAAGTTTAGTAAATTTGAGTATTAACTGCCGCGTCGGATTTTCATTTTTGGAATTTGCAAGAAAATTGATTTTAAATATTAAATTTTTCTTTTTTCTCTGTTTTTCTACTGTCAAGGGAATGCATACTTGTCATAAGAGTGACACAATATTTTGTGGTACACAACATTAATATTTTTTAGTTGTAGGCAGAAAAGGATTATTTATGTTATTAGATCTTGAGAAAATTCTGAGATGAGAAAATTTTGAAAATTTTTAGAGAAAATTTTAAGTTTATGTGGATGAACTTTAATCGATTATATTGGAAAATTCCTTGTCTATTCAATTGACAAAATAATATGAAAACTTTTTTTTTTTATAAAATGAATGTCATTAAAATTTCTACTAAAAATTTTTTATATAAGTATAAAAAAAAAGTTTTTACACAAATGGTTTGTTTAAAAGTTTTTTGGCGACGGGCTATATACCAATATATTGACCTCAACAATCTTATGAGTTTTGAAATATAAGAGAAGAAATCTTATTTGGTAAAAGTTGCTATCAAATTTCAAATGCTTAATAAAAAATTGTGTATTGAAGGAAAAATTATTATTTTGATTATCCGATTAAATTAGATGAAAAAAATCAAAAACTACCAGAACGCACAGATTTCTTATTAAAAGAGAATTAGGTTAACAATAAAATAATTTTCATAAGAATTTCATACTATCAACATAATCGAAATTACAGTAGGGTGCAGAATGAAAATTGGAACAAAAAATTAAAATAAATTAAATTTTAATGTATTTGAAGAACATCTAAAGCACGATGTTGATGATGACGCTACAGACAAGGACGACACACATCCTTTATTTGACAATTATGGTGGACATTAAAAATTTTAACATTTTAAGAGATTAAGGCTTTTGAACATTACATTTCTTTAAAATCCAAAATTTTCGAATCAAATTTAATTGTGGTGCATTACTAGCTAAATTTTCATAAAATTTAAATTGATTTTCCGATATAGGGGGTAATACCGAGGAACGTTTTGTTATTACGAATTTTTGGTATATAGCAAAATTTAATTTCGCAAATAAATCAAGATTAATAGTAATCGAAATCTGGAAATAATAAAAAAGTAATTGCGTTTTTATAAACAAAACTATCAAGATTCGCATAGAAATCAAGAAAAGCGAATATAAATAACTTGGAGAAACTAAATTGAACGAATAATCTTAAAAAAACATATTTTTTCCATATTTTCCACTCGTTTTTTTTTTTCGTTCTACTTTTAAGAGCAACAATGCCTAGTTAATCTAAAACAATTTAAACATTAAATTACTTTTCTATGAATTTTATTAAATTTATAAAGAAAAGGTCGTGAAATTTTCTTTAAGCTTATTAATTGTATATTCACTGGCAATGTTATTTACATTTATTTGGTGAGGCATGGTAATTAATAATTAATTCATTTAATAATAATTACTATTTAAATTTTGGTCATTTATCATTGACAAATCAATGATTAAGAAAATTATTTACATTGTCATACGTTACGGTATTTGATCAATTTGATATTAATTTTCCTTAAAAATACAAATTGAATAATTTTTAGCATAATTTTTACGAAATATAATTTTATTAGTTTCTCTCTGCCCGTTCACCTGTACTTCGGTACATCTGTTTATCACACTTCTACATGCTTCAAATTAATAAGGTGATATTTTATAAAGAAAAGTATCTACATTAATGAAAAAATGTAGTTGCGTTTTCTTCTTTCCTTTAATTGTAATTTGTAGTCTCTTTAAAGTTCTGGGGTGATATTTTTTGAATAGTAATTCTACTGAAACCACAAAAATTTTTTAAATTCGGCAATTGTTCTTCAAACGATGCCTATTTTACCGTAACATAAACCATTTGTACTAAGTTATAATTGTTATTTTTCCCTTTTTTTAAAATTTAAAATTTCCGAAAGTTGTAAAAATATGAAATTTATCAGTTTCGTCGCCAGAGTCTTAAAAAACTAGCAAAATTTCCAATTCATTATTTAAATCTTATATAGCTCTTACAAATTTCTATAAAATGTACGAGAGTAGCCTTGAGTAGCCGCATAATTCTATTGATAAATTAATTATTCTAGTAATTTCTCTTTTCCTTATCCTAAAAGTATGCAACAGAAAGTGCTTCAAATAAAAAAACTTTATTTTTGTAAAAAATATTTTTACACATCTTGAGCTGTTTAATGTGCTACTTCTCTATAGTGTTGCTGTTAAATTAGAATATTCACTTTACTGCGAATTTAAAGCCAAATTTATATTACTACTATATTAACTGTTATACGTTATATATCAACGCTTTTGTTTAGGAAGTATATATGTATGTAAATTTTTAAAAACAAACTTTTGATATTTTTAATGTAACGTATGTAAATAGTAATTGTGGTTTTTTAAAAAGTTCAAAATAAGTATACTCGTAAATATTCATTTTCCACTTTTTTTTTAAATTTAAACAATAAAATCTTATGAATACTTTAATTAATTGTAGGTATAACAATTGTGGAATTCTTAAATTAAAATTTAAAATATATGTTTATAGAATTTTATTAAAAATATTTCTCCCTCCATATTTGTTAATTTTGTATAAATGTTTACTAAATTCCCTATATTATTTTAAAATAGGATTGACTTTATAAATAAAAGCTTGTAAATAAGTTCAATTGCTGACAAAGTATAAAGTATAAATTTTTAATTAACCTATTGACATACTTTAAATATAAATGGCAATACAATTACTCCAGATTACTCAATTAAAAATCCAGATTTGCAAAGTATATAACACTCTGCTTTATGAAAATAAATTCGTGTGAAAAGCCCCTTCCTCCTTCTCCCATCTAATTGACATGGTATAATTAAATTAATATTAATTTTACTTTTATTTCAATCAGTAACTATTATTAAATTTATGAATTCTCAAATGATATACTTTCTTTAGGCAAAACTACTTGTATGTCTATATAAAGAAAAAAATTAAATTATTATCAACTTTTATATTACATTCACATATATATTAAATAGACACTTATATTTCCATATAAAAGAAAATTGAAACCTTCAACTGCAGATAAAAGTTATAAATTATTCTATTAAATTGAATAGTAAAATTCAATTTATTGTGTATTACAGAAATTGATATACGTAAAAACAAAAAAAAATATATGTATATGAAAATGAACTTATTTAATATATACACGTCTCATTACTTATAACATCATTAGCATTAATTACAATTTAATAAAATAAAAATAAAATTCCAAAAATAAATAATTTTAAATTAAAACCTACAAAATAGAAACCGCAACACCGTGAAATATATTCATAAAACATTCAATATAATGTTATACTAATGTTATAACCACGACAAACTCATATACATGTACAAAATGTATATACCATCTGTATGTGTAAATATGAATATATAACAAGTATATAATGTTATAATATTTATTTAATTTTCCCTTTTTTTCCATAATTATATATTTTCCATAAACATAGAAAATTTTATAGAAAACTACTCGCTTATTCATGAAAACTAAAAAAATGAAAAGAAAACATTTTATGAGAGAGCATTTGAAATTTTGCCTATATGTAAGTATATACACAATTATACATTATACTTACACTTCTGTGTGAATCCTTAATATTAAATTGTAACATCATTTCAATGACAGTAATGATAACAACGATTATGTTTTTTGATTATACTTTAGATATTATTAGTATAACAATATATAGAATTCATAAATGTATAGACAGTATACGAGTTTGGTAGTATGTTTTTATGAATTATTTATATACAATACAGTAATCTTTTTTATATATTTTTATACAGATGTCGCTTTTTGTATAAAATAAAAAACATGCAAATATATGTGGATATGTGCTTAAAGAAGGAATGAAAGAAAAAATAATAATAATAATCTTATATATTTTACCTGTACAATATTCCAATATGGTACAACTTTAGCTAAACTTTCTGTTACCTCAGAACACGCAGATCCCAATAGCATAACCATCCTTGTCGAATGTTGAGTGTATAAAGCATGAAAGAATCGATCGACTCCAACACCTGGATCACACTATAAACAGAAAAGAAAATAAAATAACCATTTTCCTTTTTTTTTTTTTCATTTTTGTTTTTTATCTTATATAATTTTGTTCTTTTTATTATTTTATTTTTTTTCGTTATTTTGCTTTTATTGTTTTAATCATAATAAAAATAAAGAAAAATCAAAATTATATTAAAAAAAAATATGAAAAATTGTGATTGATAAAGTGAGTTATTTTCCTTTTAAAAATTGTAGTTAATTTACTACAATCATGTATACACGCACATATTTACGTATATTTCGAGTAGTATATATATCGTAGGGTGATTTCCTATTGTTATGGATGACTTTGCATCTCTGGACAGGAGGAATATCTCAGAAATAATGTAAATTATCATTAAAAGTTAAACAGTTACAGAAAGTATTTTTCATTTCCGAATACGCTAATCTGCTCTAATGCATTACTTGTTTCTTTAAAAATGTTTTCCATGTTAAAAAATTAATTTTTTTTTAATATATTTTGAAGTTTTCCGTGACTAGACCAATAACATTTTGAAGTTTAACTAATTTTCTTAATTTTTAATCAAGAATATATTATTGCCACAAGTTTTACCTTAAATGGGCACAATGTGTTTCGCGCCTAAGGGCGTATGTATTACATTATATTATATAATACATATTACTAATAATTAATTAGCAACACATAATCATGTGATCATCATGGTTACTAATCATGTTGGTAAATCATGTGATTCTTTCCTACATACATGTTACTTGCGTTACCTTTGCTTTATCAATATAAGATTAAACATAAATTATAATTAAATATTACTTGCGAGAATATAATTAATAGGAAAAGGCATGTCATTAAATACAATATATTGCATCCTTAGACATAGATGTAGTGAAACCTATGTGCAAAAATTAGACTTTCACACTCTTTTACTTAGTTACTCAATAAGTTTTTGATTTTATAATTTTGTATTTCTGAACCATATTGTGAAGGAAGTTAAATTATCTAATAGAGCATAATACTAAAAACTCCAAATTAGTTTGAGTCAGAATCACTCAATAGAGTTAGTAGACGTTAAATTTAATTTTGTTTTTATCCCCGAGTAGGGTAACTTACCCTACATATAGACGTGAATGTAATAACGATTTTAAATTAAAAACAAAATGAAATATGTAGTAATTACGTAAATAGTTTTTGCTTTCTTCTATAGAAACATTAAAGTCTTAATTTCGTTCTAATTCAAATGAAATAAGAAACATTCAAAGAATGAAATAAAATTTTCACATGAATTTTTATAGTTTCTTAGAAGTATTTTATGAGTGTATAAAAAATTGATAAATTTTAAATATAATTTTGATAATTTTATTACGACTTCAAATCGAAATCAAGATGCAGAAAAAAAGCAATATTCTAGAAGAACAATTTCATTAAATTAGTTATTTTTCTTATTAAAGTTTGATACTTGATCAATTATTTTGCAAGATTTATGTATTATGAAAAAAAGACGAGGAGACAACCATGATTATAGTCAACTTTTTTATATTAGGAAAAATTATTTACTGGTTTGCACCATGAATGTCTATTAAGTTGAAGTTAATCTATTTTTAAAATTTTACTAAATTTTTGTAACAGGCTTGTAAAAATGAATGAAGGTGCGCAGATGAAAGCAAAAATATTAGAATATTTATGACAAAATAAATTCGCTTGTGGTCAAAATTTTAAGGAATCTGAAGTTGACTTTTTTTATTTTGAAATTTGGAAAGGTCTGACTATATTTAAAATAATGCATTTTAAAACTTACATATTTAGTAACTAGTAAAATTTTTGGGAATTTTCGAAAATAATTACAAGTCCCTCCTCTCAAGTAATCGCCACTACAAATTTGTGAAATTTGAATTTTTGAGGAATAATGTAAAAGTAATTCAATAATTTAATGCTCATATTACTAATAAAAAAGTCAAGTAGCTAGTAGTTATTAAGAATTTTCAATTAGTTACACACAAATAAATTTAAAAATATCGAATATCTATATGGCAAACTTAATAGAAATTGGTTAAAATAGTTAATAAACAACAGGGAAATTAACATAGCCGTGATTGTAATACAACAGTATAAAAGTATATATTTTATCTAAGTTCAAATTTCTGAACTTAACAGTACGCTATATAAACATTTTGTAATTATGGTAAGTCCATTTTACTAAAGCAAAAAAGGAAATGTGTGTAGCATCGTATACAAACAAGATATTAAATTTTAATGTTGTTCGTTTAATTTATTTGGCAAAAGACGGCGGCGTTGAAGTATATTATGGTAATGTATGTAATATGTATACATAAATAAATTTAATATAAGTATATATTTGTATATTATGTTTTATATTTAAATATTTAATATTATTTATTTTGTTTGTCGCTCTCTTAGTTTTACTCTGCTTTTCTTTAATTTTCCGTAAAGTACAGATGTCGCGAACCTTTTAAATATGTTATGTATTAAATGAGCGAGCGTAAGTATGAAATAAATTAATAGTCCTCTGTATATTAATAAATGGAATAAAATTATATATAGACTAGCAATAAATTATGATGAAAATTTTAACAATTTTTTAAATTATGCCCAAAATATATTAAAAGATTGATTAAACATTAAAGTGTATTAGTTTTAAAATTATTTAATTTGACTTAATTAATTCCCTAAATTTGGATTAATTTATTAATAAATAAACTTTAAGAATTATTGATTAAGATTTTATTCGCACTAAATGTGATTATTATATACCAAAACCGATTTGAAATCTATTAAAAGAAGAAGAAAGAAAGTGATCTATTAGTTAATTGAGAAAATTTATAAATTCATACATATCGTAAAGTAGATAAAGTAATAAGCGGTCAGAGCGCTGGAGGAGCTCCTGGGAGATTATGACCACAAGCGATTTAAGAAAATTATGGAGATGGGCAAGAATCAGGTGAAAATTCTCACTGGGGTCTCGTTGGGTCACTGCAGACTTAGGGGACATTTCTGGAAAGTGAGAACACTTGCAGATTCTGGGGGAGTGTGATGTTCTTGCTTATAAGAGGAGGAAAGTGCTGGGGGGCTTTTCTCTCACGGCGGGGGAGTTGTGGTCTTCCTGTAGCTTGAGCTCATCAGGAAGATGGGTCTCGAGCGTGTGTTTCAGGACATGCCCCGCATTCGGATGAAGCGCGCAATTAATTCATATACTCGTACGTGGTCACGGTGCACTGTTGTCCTCGTTTTACAAATCTACAATCTGCAAAATCTATATAATATATGAATTTTTGAATCACATGGCAGTAAATAAACCAGGAATAAATAATATAAACAAGATTTACCTTTACCTTTTAACAACTAAATTTTTGAAAATTTTCGAACAACAAGATTTTGTATGACTGATTTGATATTATGCGAGTTAAATTTTAAATAATGAAAATTAAAAATAAGGAAAAAGAAACTATTTATCTTTGATATCGTGGGCTCATTAAATATTATATTGAGTGATTTTCGTTAGTAAATTCATTTCTAACCCAAAATATTTCATTCCAAAAAAAAAAAATGAAATCATTTGTCTTACTTGAAAAAACTTCATTATAATTTATTATCTTTAATTTATATTCATGTATGTGTGTATGTATATATGGACATGAACTTTAAGTGATAACTAAGATATAATTGTGAGTGTATTGTTATCAAAGCATAACAAAGTACACATGAATCTCAAATTGTATAATATAAAGTAATGGACACGGTCTTGAATGCAATAAATAAGAATATTCTAACACGTTTTTGGATTACTGATTTTGTATAATAAAAGTTTTACTTATTCTCTCTACTTTTGAGTATATTTTGGGTATATTTTGTTAGAACATTCCGAAATTTTTAAAATAATTACACTTTATTTAAGTAACATTAACGTTTTTCTGTTTTTTCAATTGCCAATTTAATTTGATACGACCTTTTAACAAATACAATGTAAGTGTGTAACCATATAAAATGTTTTCAGTAAACTAGTCAAATTTAAGATTAAAAATCTAGTGGGTTTAATAAATTTTTTTTTTGAAACAATTTATTTATTTTAGTTTTTCAAATGCAGTCCAAAATTTTCGGCTAAATTATTTATATGGGAGTTGGCACTCCCTTTCTTATATTGTAATATGAGGTCATAGTATTTAATTTCTAATATAATAATAATAAATATACCTGTGTATCATTTGTTAATAATTCTATTGTATAACCTGGTAATAAATTTTTTTTATTAATATGTTCAACAGCCATTTTTGCAGCACCCAATTCACTTAAACCTTCTGGTCTTTTACCATATTTTGTACTTAATTCAAAAAGTCCTAAAATCACTATTTTACCATTTCTTCTTTTATTATTACTATTATTATCATTAAAATTATTTTTTGATTTAAAATTTAATTTTTTTTCATTTTCAAAAACTTCATTCACTTTATAATGATCACTAATTATTGATTTAATAGAATTATTTTTTACAATAATTATTTTATTACTAGAATTTAAATTTAAATTAAAATCATTATCATAAGTTTTGTTATCATTATTATTATAATTATTATTACTAATATTAATATTGCTATTATTTTCACTTAAAATATTTCCATTTAATGTAAAATTTAATTTTACATTTTCTTTTAATTTGTATATTGAACTTTTACTTTTATTATTATTTTCTAACATTGAAATTTCTAAACTAAATTCATCATTATTTTTTTTTAAATATATTTTACTTTCATTATTAATTTGATTTTCACTAATTGATTTGTTATTTAGAGAATTTTCATCAGCTCTATTATCGTTATTAATATTATTACTATTAAAATTTAAATTATAATTAGAAGAGGAGCTTATTATTTCTTTGGATGTTTCATAAAAATATTCACTGTAATTTTCTGAAGAGTATCGAAAATTGATCATATCATTAATATTTAGTAGAGGACGGAAAATTTCATTAACACTATAATTTGATTGTAATTCATTTAAAATTTCATCATTTTCATCATCATTATCATTATCATCATCATAAATACTAATATTATATTTTAATATATCAATTGGTTTTTTAATAATTGTATTATTTTTATTAATAATTTTATCATTAACTATTGTAAAATTTTTATTATAATAATTATTTTCATTATTTAAATTTGGTATTATTGAAGATGGTGTTGTTGTTGTTGTTGTTGTTGCTGTTACTGCTACTATTCTTGTTGATATTGTAGATGTTACAGTTAAAAATAATATATTATTACTGTTACTGTTGTTATCAGGTCTCTTATTATTATTACCATTATTATTGTATATTGCTTTTTGTGATGATATTAAAGTCTTATTTGTTTCAATAATTGTATTATTATTATTTAAAATAGAGCTTTCTAATATTGATGAACACGATCCAGTGGCAATAGTCATGATTAATTTAATTAAAAATAATTTAATCAATGATATTGAAAATATTGAAAAATTCCCAGATGATGATGATGACATTCGTCCAAATCGATATTTTATATTATTTGTTGATGTTAATAATAAAAAATTTATTATATAATTTCGTATTACTGTTGTTGTTGCTATTATTGCTATTCTATAGAATTTTTCTAATGATTTTATAACATAATAAAATATTAAAGACGAATTTAAAGTATAAAATAAATCTAAAATAAAATAATATTTGATTTGATGTGATCCTTGAAAATAAAAGATTTTGTTTGATTTCTGATGTTTGAAATTTATTTTGAAATTTGTCATTTTCGATTTTTGATTTTAACCACAAAATTTATAACACATTCCAAGGAAGTACAAAAAAATTTTTTTTATTTTTATTTTTATGCTTCAGAAATTTTTAATGACAGATTCACAACAATATAATATATGTGTGTGGTTCCTTTTACACCATACATGAATACAAACAAATAATGAAAAGTAAAACACCAAAATTAGAAAAAAAATATTAAACTCAATACAAAAAATAGAAAATATATGCAGTTAAAATATTTTCTAAAATGTCTCAATATATTTATGTATATATATATATATATATATATATATATATATATAACATATATATATACTCTATATATCCTTTAATTGGCCATTTTTATGTTAGTATAATAGAATAGTTATTTTTGTTTCGATTACATTTTCTGGTTGATGGTATATTTTAACAGAGTTGACCTTTTTATGGTGTTGGTGGGAAAAATCTAAATTTGATTGTCTTGTTTTGATGCCATTTCGTGTTTCCATATTGTGTTGAATTTCTTTTTTTTTTAATTTCTCTAAAATTTATATGAATTTCATTTTTATATATACATATATTTCATTTCTGTTCGTTCTAGCCTAGAAAACAAAACATATATATGTAGAAATTCTGGTATATATATGCATATATATATATACTAGAATTTGATTTTTCTCCTTTATTATTATTACATGCGGATTGCTTTAAATTAAAAAAGGAAATGTTATATAATATATTATAGGCAAAAAGGTATGGATAGGTTCATTGCGAAAGGTATAATGTAGGTAAAAAAAAAATAAAGTAAAAAAATCAAAACAAAAAAATTTTTTTTAGTGAGAAATTTACACAAGATCTCTAAATACATAAAATATATTATGTAAAAGTATGTTGTATTGCGTTATTTTATATGTAAGTATTGTGTATACAATAATAATACTGATGTTTTTTAAGGATTTTTCAAGGATTCTAAAGTAAAAATACATAAATGAAAGTCACTTCAGTTTATTTTTATTTTTTTTGTTTTGTTTCTTATTATTGTTTGTTGTTTTATTTTATTTTTTTTCCGTTTTTTTTTTTTTTACAGTAAATTGAACTTTGAAATTTTTGCAGTTCAATTTACGTCCTTTTGTAAAGGTTGATGGGTTCATGAGTTCATTGTTGGAAGAAGAAAAAAAATATATTTTCCGTTTTTGCTTGTTGCTTTTGATAATATTTTTTTTTTGTTGTTTATTTTGATTTTGGTTTTTTTGCTGTAGTCGCAAACTATATGTACACATACAAATAGTTAGTAAAGTAAATGAAGGGGGCGGGGGACAATTGAAATTTTACATATAAGAAAAAATAAGGAAATTTAAGATAATTTCGAGATCTAGAGTTTCGGGTCGTTCTTTTATTTTTTATTTTAATAGAAAAATATAGAAAAAGGATACTTAGGTATAGAGAGAGTATTGAAGTTTTATTACCTTGTTAAATAATGTTCCAGCTTTGAAAATAATAATAAAAACTCTTTCTTTTTTTTTCTTTCGTTGTTCTAACGTTTTTTTTTTTGATTGTGAATCGATAGGTTCTAGTTAACAAAAAAATTGAGATAAATTTTATAGGAACAATAATTTTTTTTTTATATTATTTTTAATGTTTGTAAAACGTTTTTAAATATTTATGATATGCCATTTTAATAAACTGGAAATTGATTGAAAAATATTAAATTTGGAAAATACTATAAGGTTTTGTAAAGTAGAACATTTCCTGTTAAAGATTTGATTAAATTTAACTTTTTGGTAAAAATTCCTTACGTCTTTGTAATTGATTTTGAATGTAGTACAAAAATTGCATATCCATAGGGGTACATCAAAAACACACTGTATTAATTCAATAATTTAATTAAGAGAAGTAAATAGGCTAGGAAACTTTCATAAAATTCAACGGTTTAATAAAGAAATGTCATGATAATTGAAGCATGGAAGGAGATAGGAAAGAGTTTTTTTAATACAGGAGGAATACAGGGAAAGTTTGTATTCAAAAAAATACGTTTCAGATAAAAGTTCTTTCTGTGTATGTAAAGAAGACTAACAAACAGAAGGACTGTTACCTCAAAACTGATTTTAATAAAAAATTTAAATTGTTCCAATTCAATATGGTTTCAAAATAATATTGAAAAAACTTAGTCTTAAATTTTAATTGAATTGCATTTCTGGAAAGTTCTTTTTAATAATTTAATTTAAATTTATTTATTCTGTTTTTGAGACAAATTTTAATCCTTATCAAATTTTCATTAAAACCGATGTTAATCTCAATTTTTTTTCAATCAACAAGAAAATCTATTTGTGTTTGAAAAATAAACAATAAAGAGATTTGAGAATAATTAATAAAAAATTGTTTGTTTAATAATATAAAAAAAAAATATTAAGGAAAAATTCCAATATCCTGACAAAAAATTAATTTTGATTGCAATAAAATTTTATTGAAGCTATCGGAAAAATAAAAATTTAAATTTTATTGAATCTTATTTTTTTTTTTCAATGTTCTTCTACCATGTTATCTATCTATATTTTTTTCTGAAACATTGTGAAAAAAAAATATTTAAAAATTTTTATCACCAAAAAATTTTCATAAATTCAAGATGAATAAAAGTGAAAAAGAGAGAGAGAGAGAGAGAGAGAAAAAAAATATCTCTAATTTGCATTTCCATTTTGGTTTTTCTTTGTATATAAAATATAAGTGTGTAATATCCGTATATATAGTTCTTTTTATATATAATATATACACACATACTTATTTATAGCATTTTAGTAGTTAAAAATATATTATTTTATATTAGTTATCCCTTTTTCTTTGAACACTATCTAAACAGTTACAGAAACAAGAAAATAATTTGCATGCTCTAATTACTATGAATAATAATAGCCTACATTGTTTGAAGAGCTCTAAAAAAGTTTTCGTCAATCTAATTGTATAAAATCATAAATTTAGTATACAATTGAAATTTGCTATCAAATTTGATACATTTTCTACTATTGAATTTCTAATTTAAATTATTTTAACAGCAAAAATGCACCTTCAAACAATTGAAAAGCTTTGAAAAAGAAGTTGGGTTTATTTCTTAATAATTGCAGTTTTTAGCTGTTATTTTTAATAAAACAGCAACAGAATTCTTAAATTTTCGAACTTACTTTTGACGTTTCATGCACCTGATAAAAATTTTAATAAATCTACATTCAATTATTAAAACTGTCAGAAATATATTTATAAATTCAATTCTGCCCCTCTTGTATTAAATTTATCACTGGGATTTGTATAACAATGAATTATACAATAATTTTTTAGTTCTCACATCAGCTGTATGGAATTTTTCATTCAATGTCCCATTTTTGTGTAGCACTTAATGTAATTTTTTTAAATTTTAAAAATAATCTATTCTATGATCAATATTTTAATGACCAACAAAAAAAATTCAATAGGGAATTTAATATTTTAATTATTAATCAAATATTCATTACCCAAACTGGTTAGGTATCTGAGATTATACAACAATAGAATATAACAAGTGTTTTCTAGAATTGATTAACAAAATTTGAAAAGGGTTATTTCTTTTCTAAAATTTTATATTAATTTAGTTAATAATCGAATAAACACATTTCACATCCTTAGTCCCTAAACACAACTTTTTATTTTGTTGTGTTTAAGAAAAAAAAATGTATATATGGGTAGACTTTATATTTTACAGTTGAATGAAATTTATTCATAATAAAGGAAAATTTTGAAGGTAGCGCGCGTCTATTGTTATTCTCTAAAGTGTTTGCACCTGTTAAATTTTTTTCTTCTTTAATTTTTTTTTTTGTCAAGTATCCTTTTAAAAATATAATATAACCATTTTGTTTTCTTTACTTTTATAAAACAAAAAAAGAGAACAAAAAAAGAGAAAGGAGAAACGCAAATGGGAATAAAGTATATGCAAAATGAAAAAAAAAAATGGGCTCAATTATGTTTAGAGCAAAACAAAATGAAAAAAAAAAGAGTTGTTGACAAGGATTTTCTCAAAATAATTTTAATTTTTTTCGGTTGAATAAAAAAAAAAATGGTTTTCTTTTATTTTTTTTTTTATTATTATTCTTTCTCTAAATAAAGTGATTTCGGGTTCCTTTAGAGGATATAATTTAGTAATTTTTTGTTAATAGCCTACTTTTAGGGAGGAGGAAGTCATAAATTTTATTTAAAATTATTTTATGCCACAAAAGATTATTATTTTATTTTAACAGTTATAACACAGTTATTGTAAATAATTATTTTAAGATTTTCTTAGCATAATTACTCATTGCATTTGGGATTTAAAATAATTGTAAATGGCGTATTTCAGTATATTTTCTTGCAAAACTCAATTCCAAAATGTGGAATATTATTTTGAGACCTAAATAAAGAAAAATTTTGAATTTTTTATAAAAAATCACCTAGAGTCTTTTATTCAAATTTCTTTAATTATGTTGCTTAATATTTGCCAATAACTCAAAAATAATTTCTTTTATTAAATTCTAATAAATTACACAATTAAATTTAATAATAATTATTATTTTAATTATCATTATAATGCCGCCTGAGGGCACGCATATTTACTATAATGATAGGTATTACGATATATCTATATTAAATCATTTATATTTTAATCTAATCTAGATTTTAGAATATCACTTTAACATTATATTTCATAATTTTACATAAAACAAACTCTTCAAGATTTTTGGTTTTGTTTTATCATAATTTTTGCAATTAGAAAAACTTCTCTTTAATCTGCTCTGTTTTAATTAAACACACATCGGTTTAAAATATTTCATTAAAAAATTACATGCAGAATGAAAAACATAAAAAAAGTAGAGATAAAAAGAAGGCGTAGGATCGCTATGGAGCAAGAAAACAAAACTGAATTTAAAAAAAAAGACCCTTAAGAAACTTTTAACTGTTTCATATAAAATTTTATGAATTATTTAATCTTCAAATAATTAAGTAAAAAAAATTTCACGTGAAAATGTTTTCTACTTATTTAAACTTTTTTGCAATTAGATTTTGCAGAAATAACAAAAAAAAAAACTATAAAAAACAAGTAAAAAATTGGAAAAAAAATTTAGCCTCAAAACCAAATCGTTCAGGTTTTGCATAAGTGTTATATAAAAAGAGTTTTGTAAACAAAAAAACAGTAATAATAAAAAAAAATCTAAGAACTTGAAAAACTTCAAACCACCCTCAACATCCTTGAGAAAAAATACAAAATACAATTTGGTTTTTGTTTTAATTTTTTTTCTTCTTCTTATTTTAAGAAGAAGTTAAGGGAAGAGCTATATAGAGCATTGTTTTTATTTGGTATTTACATTATACTTAAATCGCACGCTGAATATAACATAAAAGTTGAGGGTGTTTTTGAAAATAAAAAATACCACATAGAAAAAGTGAATTTTTTATTTAAATGATAAGGTATAAAGAATTGCAATAAACTTTACGGGATGCAGGAACACTACTTTAAATTTAATCTCTTTTATGTACTGTCACACATTTTAGAATATTCAACAATGAAATATTTTTTCACTATTCAACATAGTTTAATCGAGTACCA